TTAGATTGAGTGGAATCTGGTCTCTGGTGCCAGATTTTAATGGGGGCATCATCAGGAAGAGGGGGTGCCCACTGTTAAATGAGGCCATATACCTCCTTCCCTGCTTTCCCTCTCCCTGGTCTCTCAGATTTTAATCTTCCCACAGTCATCCTTCCAACCTTTGCTTAGACTCAATCCCACTGACCCTGTCAGTTGTTCCTTCTGCTACGTCTGCCACCTCAGGCATTTCTTCTGCCTCCATTTCAGTGGTAGTTTTTCCTCCTTTAAGCTTTCAATTATTTAATTACTTATTCAATTCAACTACTCTAACTTACTCAATTACCTGCCCTAGCAAATCTCTTTTTTTAAGTTATTTATTCAAGAACCAGGGTACAGGCCAGATGTGCAGGAGGGTGAGAGGATTCACCAGAGACAGAGCGGGGAACAGAAAAGGCAGACTGACGAAATACACTGCTGAGGGGCGCAGCGGGCGCGACAGGAGAGGTCTGCTGCGCCATGTGGGACCCTCACCGGCTGGCCAGGATCGAAGCAGCGCTGCAGAGGCTGCAGGCAGCTTCGCAACCCAGCACTCAACCGCTGCGCCACTGGGGAGGCCCCCAAATTATTTTTTTTAAGGAACATTTGATGGTTGCTAAAATGATCCTTGTCGGGCTTCGCTGGTGGCGCATCAGGTTGAGCAAAGCACTGTGAAGCTGTCCTCAGCCTCTGCAGCGCAGGTTTGATCCTGGCCAGCTGGGGAGCTACCCACATGGCTCAGCAGACCTCTCCTGTCTCGCCCGCTGCTCCCCTCAGCAGTGTATTTCAGTAGATCTGCCTGTTCCCTGCTCTGTCTCTGGTGAATCCTCTCACCCTCCCACATGTCTGACCTGTACCCCGGTTCTTATATGCATGAATAAATAAATCTTTTAAAAAAATAAAATGATCCTTGTCCATTTATTTTTGTTGTTGTTTAAAGATTTGTTTATTTATGCATACAAGAACTGGGGTGTAGGCCAGAGATGTGTGTGGGGGTGAGAGGATTCACTAGAGACACAGTGGAGAGTAGAACAGATGGATTGAATGAAATACACTGCTGAGGGGAGCAATGGAGAGGTCTGCTGCGCCATGTGGGTCAGCTCCCTGGCCTGGGATCGAACTCATGCTGCAGTGGCTGCCAATAGCTTCATTGTGCTGAGATACAACCCCTTGTGCCCCTGGGGAGGCCCCATCCTTGTTCATTTCTTATGGACCTTGGCTCCCACATGCCTTCAGTGATATGAAACAGCTCACCACCCACCTCACATACAAACTAAAGTAGGTGAAGAGTTGCCAGACCATTCCTTCCTTCTAGGCTTTAATATGGGTGCAGGAAGTCAGTTTGCTGCCAGGGTCAAGCAGAAGGAAGCAAGGAGGAGCCCTGATCTGTCCCAGAAGAATAGTAGGCTTTCTGAGGAGGAGGAAGAGTTCAAATCACCTTGGGGAGCCAAGGGTGGGGTGTGTATGCAGATAAGCAGCAGAGTTAAAGACCTTTAAAGGTCCATTCTTGAGAATCCCAGTCTGACTGGGGGCAGGGCAGAGCTGTTGCCACTCAGTGTTCATACTAGAGATCTGAAGCTTGCCTGTGATTGCCTTACTTGCTTTTGTGTCCCTACTGCATGGCATAGTGTCTGCAGCAGCACTGTCCCAAAAAGCTTTCTGTAGTGATGGAGATGGTCTATTTTGCTCTGTCCAGTGTGGTAGCCTCTGGATATAGGTAAAAAAAATTTTTACAAAATTTTTTTATTTATGCATACAAGAACTGGGGTGGGTATAGGCCAGAGGTGTGGGGAGTGAGAGGATTCACCAGAGGCAGAGTTGGGAGCAGAATAGGCGGAATGACTGAAATACACAGCTGAGGGGAGCAGCAGGCAAGAGGAATAGAGCTCAGGCCATAGAGATGATAGTGCTAAGACTTAGCTCCCTAGGCCACAAGGGAGGCCTTACTTATTTAAAATTTAAGGGGTTAAGACGCAGCACTGTGAAGCTTTCCGTAGCCACTGCAGCACAAGTTCAATGCCTGGCCACAGAGGTGACCCACATGGTGCAGCAGGCCTCTCCTGACTTGCCCGCTGTTCCCCTCAGCAGTGTATTTCAGTCAGTCTGCCTGTTCTGTTCCCCACTCTGTCTCTTGTGAATCCTCTCACCCTCCACACCTCTGGCCTGTACTCCAGTTCTTGTATGCATAAATAAATAAATCTTTAAAAAAAATAAAAGTTAAATAACTACCTGTAAGCTAGTGACTATTGTATTGGATAGTACAGACCCAGATTCTGGAACATTCATTAAATAATCAACTAAGCTGAATCATTGTCCTGGGTGAGGGGGTGGGGTGGGCAGAGAATGATATATAATAGGGTCATTTGAAGAGTCAGAAGGTGTAGGTATTAGGAGGAAAGGATGTCCTGAGCAAACTCCATATAGGCTCTATGAACTCTACCCCCACTCCATCAAGACACTGGGAACTATAAATCCCATGATTACCAAAGGGAAGGTTGCGAGGACCTGAGGGTGGAGTTAAGCAGCCATGTTCTCTGTTTGAGTATTTAACTGGCCATGTGGCCAAGGATTCACTCTCTAGGCCTGATGGCATGTGGTTTTTCACCAGCTCATTCGGTCATTGGGATTCCAGGTCAGCGGAATGGGTAGGACACATTTACGAACTTATCTCCCTCTTTTTCTCCCTGAGTTATTCCTTTCCCCTTCCCTTGTAAATAAACCTTTTATTAACCTTTTGTGTGTGTCTGCAGTTTAGCATTAATAAGTCCCCTTTAAGCGCACGGGTGAGGACCCACAGTCAGGCAACCCGTTTTATATCAGGGTTGCTCTGTGACATAGGTAGCTCCTAGAAGCTTCCCTTGCCTGACTTAAAGTTATGGTCATGGGGAGTAGAGCAGGAAGAGCATTGAGGAAAAAGGAACAGTGCGTGCAGACAGGAGCCAGAAAGCATAGCAAGTAAAAGAACAGTAAAGAGGGACCAAGGGATCAAGAACAGGAAGGAGGACGAACTGTCAGCAGACACAGGGATGTAGACCTGCAGGGCTGCCCTGCTGCAAGGACCTTCTACCACCCCACAGCCCTGTGAACTAGCAGCTCTCTGGTGCTTTCCTGGGGTGGATACTGGGAATGTGGAAGGTGCTACCCAGCCTCAGGCAGCCCCTCCTAGGTGCTAATGACCTAGCAGAAAGAGCAGCTACCTGAGGGTAGGGAAGCTCTAAAAGGTTTTAAGCAGCCAAATGTCATGGGTCAATTTGCATTTTAGTGAGATTGCTGTTGCGCTGTGGCAGCATTTTGCCTCCAGGCCCTTCTTAGCTTGATTATTGTTTTCTTTTGAATGTACTGTCTCCAGTGTCTTGTCTGGTTTATGTCTTGTTTTGTTTTTCTTTCTCTCTCTTCCTCCTATCCTGCATCGCTCTCTCCTGGGTCCCACGCTTTCTTCTTTGATGTCCTTCTCTCTCTGATCCAAAGATCAGCCAGTAAAAAGCAGTCTCACCTATCCAGGTAAGAGGAATGGCAGAGTGAGGGGGGAGAAGACTCCTCTTTTAAATTGAAAAGTTCTTTATTAGTATTGACACTTTTTGTTTGAATAATAGCTTCACAGGATTTAGAATTTAAAGGGCATGAAGAATATAAAGAAAAGATTCCAGCTCCATTCTCTGCCCCAGCAACCAGTTTCCTTCCTCAGAGGCAAGAAGTGGTATATTTCTTTTGTCCCCTCCCAGAGATATTTTAGGTATTTTTTGCACACGTAAACACATCTATAAACAATGTCCTCTCTTTTACTTACTTTTTACTGTCTACAAAACTATGCATCTTGCTTTTTTCATTCAACAACATTCCTTGGAGACCACTCCTTTTCATATGTAAAGAACCTCCTCATCCTGACATACAGCTGAATACTGGATCTTTCTATTTCTATGCTGTAATTTATTTAACCAGTCACCCCTTGTGAGCATTTAGATTCCTTCCAGGGGGTTGCCACTACAGAAGTGCTCCCATGAACCACCTTTGCTGCGATATGTCATTTCTGTGATATGAGTAGGGAGATCCCTTTCAGTGGGGCAGCTGCTACAGATCAGGAACTGGCAGCTCCTAGACTTTTCTAAAAGATGAGCATGGCAATGATTTGAGTTCCTGTTCCTGCAGGGGTCCCATTAGAGAGAAGATAGCCATAAATCTGGTTTAGTGATCTGTGGTACCTTGGGTTTTAGGGTCTGAAATAGTTCTTCAGCAAGCTGGTTGCAGGAAGGGGCTGAATGAGGGCTGGAAAATTACCCTCAAACAGACCAGTGCTGTTCTGTGACACCCACAAGATAAATGCATTTTCAGAGGCTCGGCCATTATCCTCCTTTCTAGAAAAATGTGCGTGTTGCCAGTTACCTAACAGGCTAGTACCAGATGCCCAGTTACTCTCCTGGAGACACTGTTTTGGAGAGGGACAAGGAGATGAAGCTACAGTGGGGGAGATTGTCACTGCTACAGCCACTGCAGTCCTTGCTGTGTTCATGCAGGTCACTGCGCTTTGACCCACCTCGCCCGTGCCCTCCAGTCTCCCCTTCCTTCACAAATCATTGCCTAAAACTAACTTGTTATTTGTTTTTTTCCTGTCTTTTTCTTACATTCATTTTCTTTGCTGCTCCATTCTGTTCCATCAGCCCCATTGCCGCCTGGTAAGACCCAACAAGCATGGGCATTTGTGCGCATTCTGTCTTCTTGTCTGTCTGCTGACTCTGGGAAGGGTTTTTTCCTCCATGCCTTGCTGGCATTAAAGAGATCATGCTTGCCCTGCTACCCTAGGGTTCCAGATAGATGATGTTGCCAGTGGTGTAGACATGGCTGATTTCCCACCACATTGAGCAGGATACAGAGAGTTGGTCTCATTACCCAAGACTTAGGGCCTCTTTTCACAGAGCTTCCTTCCACCACAGGGTTGGTCCCTCCCTGCCCAATTAATTTGTTATACTTTTTTTCTTACTCCTCTCCAGGTTAAGTAACCTGTCTTTGGGAGATTCGGCGCCTGAACGCAAGTCTCCTTCCCACCACCGCCAGCCCTCTGACACCTCTGAGACAGCAGGTAACCTTCTTGGGCATTAACGCATGGACAAAGAGGCATGCAGATAGATATGTTTACCCGGATGAAAAAGAATTTAGCCTTTCACTCAGTGTATAATGTGTACGCGTTTTATGTAAATTGCCTCTTCGATCCTTAGAGCAACTATAGAAAGTAGACTTACTATCTTTATTTTACAGATGAGGAAGCTGAGGCACAGAAGGTTTAAAAACCTGCCCAAGTACACAAGCTTTAGGGGAAAAAGTCAGAATCTGGAATCAGTTGGGTTTTAGCTGTAGAACTCATGCTTTATCCCTCACAGGAAGCGTCCTGCAGGCATGATATCTGTACACACCCACAGGGTAGCAACATCTGGAAGCTGTAGCCTTTCTTTTTTGTTTTTTACATTCTGTGTAAAGCGACTTCTGTCGTCATCTCTTCCTTGATTTGGCAAGGGGCAAGCCATGAGTTACCCCACATGAATTATCCAGCTCTACAAAAAGAGTCAGCCAACATTGGTTGTCCCACCTGCTACTCTCGTTGGACTTAATTTGACAGAAAACTTCCAGCCTCATGGGGGCTCAATATGGGGTTGTGTCCCTATAATTAGTCTTTGGAAGAGTGGCCCTAACATGGCCCTGTCCCTTCTCTGGCCAGTCTTACCCAGAAAACCTAAAGCAGCAGACATGTACAAGAGAGACAAACACCTCAGTGCCTTTGGAAGTGGTAATTTCTTAAATGACATACAAAGTAAGTTGCAGGTTTTTATCCATCACTGTGGGAGGCATGTCACTGCAATGGTGTGTTGGGCAGAATAAGTCTGGAAGACCTTTCTGGAAGAAGAAATGCACTGGGCTCCCCTGGGTTGGTCTTGGCCTTTATGCACTACCTATCCAGTGACAGTACCTACCTGCTCCCTTCTCTCACCTCTCATCAGGTCTTGTTCAACGCTGTGTCATCATCCAGAAGGACCAACATGGCTTCGGCTTTACAGTCAGTGGGGACCGCATCATCCTGGTGCAGTCTGTGCGGCCTGGTGAGTGTCACATGCCTCATGCCTCTGGACAGAGTAGCCATGTGTATGACAGTGCCCCATGACCTCTCTGGGGGCCAAGGGCAGGGTGAAGGGCAGGAATGTATTGCTCTGGAACTTGTTCCCCAGGAGCATTTGGGAAGGCCCCACAATGCTAAGCCAGTAGGGAGCACTTTGAGGGCTCACACTTCACACTTGCCTTCCCTGTTGGGAAGTGGAAAATCAGCAGAATAGCCCTCATGTCATCCAGCAAATGCCTGAGTGTCCTCCAGAGGAACCCCTCCTATTGCTTTAGAAGAGGCTGTGTAGGAATGAGGGCTCCGCTGACTTAATCTTACCTTCACGATAATTACCTTCCCCAGTGCACAGGTGGTCACTGTCCTGCAGCAGTTCACAATTGGAGATAGGCACACTGGTCCAGATGGTGCCCTGCATTTGCAGATACAGTTTACATTAAGTAATAAATTACCAAAAGATAAATGATGGGTGTTGGTACATGAGAGGCGATAGGTCTGCAAATCTGTGTTTGGGTAGTTTGTGGTTTGAGACATAGTCATTTCCCTTCTGATCAGTTTGGGAATCTTCTTTAGGAGAAAAGGGATTTCAGGAGTAGTTTGAAAGATAGAAATGAAAGTCATTTTGGCAGGATAGAAACTTGGTGGGAAGGTAGTAAAGAACTTGAGGGCATGGGGAGTAAAAGAATCAGGTGAACGGTTGTGTATGAGAGCACATTGACTATTTCAAAGCACTGTCATATGCAGGTGGTGGGATCCTTAAGTGCCTTTGCTGGAGAAGGAAGGTGAGGTGGGGCAGAGCAGGACGCAGGTATCTCTGAGAGTAGCAGGCACCAATCTAGCAAGTGGAATTGGGCCTGGTAATGTGGACCATCATAGTGGTGGCCAGAAGAACAGTGCAAGGAGAAGGCTGGGAACAGGCCAGCCTTGCGCACTGAGCGCAGTGCAGAATGGGAAGGAGGATTTACTTGAAGTAGTCTTGGAGAAAGTTTTGAGATATGTTTATGGGAAAGTTGAGAAGAGAATTTCTTTTTTTTTTTTTTTTTCCTTCCTACTGTGCATATCGCCACAGAGACTCCACATATTTTAGGTTTAATTTCATTTTGAGGTCTTTTTTCTTCTTTTTTTCAGGATTTATTTATTTTTATACAAGAACTAAGGTATAGGCCAGAGATGCAGGGGGTGAGAGGATTCACCAGAGACAGAGCAGGGAACAGAACAGGCAGGCAGACCAAAATACACTGCTGAGGGGAGCAGCAGCAGGCGAGATAGGAGAGGTCTGCCTCCACCATGTGGGTATCTCTCTGGCCGACCGGGAATCGAACCGGCACTGCAGAGGCTGTGGACAGCTTCACAGCGCTGCAGTCAACCCGCTGCTCCACGGGGAGACCCCGAGAAGAGATAACCAAGATGAGGTGTGTGGCTCATACAAGAATACCATTATAACAGCTTCTGTTTGAGAGTTACTTTATTTGTTGGAGGTTTGTTGTTCATATACTAGGGTAGCGCTCTGAGAAGATACTTTTATTCCTTGCTTCCTTTAATCTCTCAAAGTTCCTGGATTGGCATGAAACAGCTAGTGGGCCTGCCAGTAACTTGCGCTTGGCCTCATCGTCTGTTGGTTACAGAGAGTGTTGGCACCCCAGTGCTCCTGCACTGCTCCTCTTCTGAAACTGCTAGTGTGGGAAATGTGTATATGTGTTTGTACTTGGGGGAGGAGAGAAGATAGGACTTCGTTTGGGTTGGAACTGAAATCGAAAGTGTAACAAAGCAGTTGTAATTGTCTGTTCCAGATGTTGGGGTTCTCTAGTCACTGTTTTTGTCGGGTAGCCTCTGCTCTACATCCTAAGCCCTAGGATAATTGAAGTCCCCATTCCTGGACCCAACCCCCGGAGGACTGAGTCAGTATCTGGCTAGGGGACCAAGATAGATGCTTTTTAACAAACTCCTTCAGTGATTTTCATGCTAATTAAATTCTGAGAACTTACGCTCCCATTTCATTGCTCAGAAGAATAATTTTCTTTTCTTTTCTTTTTTTTTTTTTTTTTAAAGATTTATTTATTTATTTATACAAGCACTGGGTACAGTCAGAAGCACGGGAGGGTTGAGAGAATGCACCAGAGCCAGAATGGGGAGCAGAACAGGCAGACTGACGAAGAAATACACTGCTGATGGGGAGCAGCAGGCACAGCAGGAGAGGTCTGACGCGCCATGTGGGACCCTCACCGGCAGCCGGGGATCGAACTGGCGCTGCAGAGGCTGCAGGCAGCTTCGCAGCCCAGCGCTCAACCGCTGCACCACCAGGGGAGACCCGAATTTAATTTTCTTTTTCACCACTTAGTTACTAGGAGTCAGCATGTATGTTTCATATATTCCAGCGAGACAGGTCTCTATCTCCGCCTTTAGTTTTTTTTTTTTCTTTTTTTTTTTTTTTTTTTTTTTTTTTTTTTTTTTTTTCACTTTTTTTTTTTTTAAAGATTTATTTATTTATGCAAGCACTGGGGTACAGGCCAGGGGCACGGGAGCATGAGAGAATTCACCAGAGACAGACCAGGGAGCAGAACAGGCAGAAGGACCAAAGTACACTGCTGAGGGGAGCAGCAGGCGCAACAGGATAGGTCTGCTTCGCCATGTGGGAATCTCCCTAACCGGGTATCGAACCAGCGCTGCAGAGGCTGCGGACAGCTTCACAGTGCTGCGCTCAACCCGCTGCGCCACTGGGGAGGCCCTCCGCCTTTAGTTTCTAGATGATAGGGTTCCAAGCATTTGCAAGTACTCCTCCCTTAATAACACACTTTAGATGAGGGTTGTCTTGAGTCTCCCAGTATTGGAAAGTCAAATAGTCATCACTGTCGTTTCTCTTTTTAGACTAGAAAATTCTAGATGTGCTTTGTGGGTGTTTTGTTGTGATCAGATTAATGTAACATGCAGATTTAATGATCCTTTTCAGGCAAATATTCTAAAAGCTTAATTGTTATGCTTCTCATTTACTTGTTTCGGCTTTAATGTTTCTCATGCTCCCTGGGTGTCAGTTGAACTAGGCCTCTTAAGTCATTTAAAACTACACAGTGGTCAAAGCCACTGCAGCCCCCAGAGTGGGAGTGAAAGGGAGATGCTGTGCACATTCTAAGCTCCTCTCGTCAGTCACAACCAGAAGCTCCTATTCTGGTCCCTTTTAAGGGGAGAAACTGTAAATAGATTTAAGAAGTCTTTTAGCAGATACAAGGCAGTTATCATTGTCATCTTTAATGATATAAATCCCCAGAATATCTTCATGAACTTCTCAGGGCTTTATGAACCCTGATTTGAAAACTCTTAGTTGCATCATTTTCTTCATATTCCTCTTAATAATTATTACTTGCTTTAACAATTTATTACAGTATACTTAGTCTTCCTACTGCATTATAAGAGATAATTTATTTGACCTTGGGACACATCCAGATACTTTCAAGTGAAGCAGAAACGCACTTTTCCAGGAGCTGGGCCCTGCCTCTCTTGGCCTAGCCTAGCAGTCAGAAACCTGGCATCTGAGCCGGGTAGAGAAAAGAGCAAGAGATGTAGTCTTACATAGTCCACTCTAACTCAAAAATAATTGTGCCACTGGAGCAGAATAGGATGTACACCCAGTACTTGAGAAAAAATTGTGGAGGGAAGCTGGCCTGCCAGGGACTTTGGTGCAGACTCAGTGACCCCTGCGAAGGTTGTTGGGCTCTGCTCACCAGGCCTTCTCCCTGCAGGAGGTGCAGCCATGAAAGCTGGTGTGAAAGAGGGCGACCGGATCATCAAGGTGAGTGAGCTCCCCTAACCCACAGAGCAGGGTGTGCAGGGCCACTTATGGCCTTGGCTGTCCCATGCTCCATTTTAGATCAGCTGTCAGTCAGCCACTGTATTAGGGGCTGCTACCATGAGAGTGAGCACAAAAGTGTCATGTGACACAGAGAGTGGCAACTGAGATAGCTGGGCTCCATATTCTAGACCCTTTCTGACTCTAAAGTAGCCAAAAAGTTTCTAGAACAGGTTTTATTAATCCCATTTCACAAATGACATAAACAAGATTCAGTGGGGGAGTGGATGTGACTGGTGAAGGGCCCAAAACCATCAGATTCTCAGCTTAATGTTCTGTCTTCTGTTCATACCAGCCTCGGGTCCTCCCAGGTCTAGATTGCTGTGATCTGTCTGTCCTGTCCTTTCAGCGCTTCTTTCTACAATATGGAGTCCCAGAAACATTAGAAATCCTAGATGAGGAGGCTCCTTAGTCCTCTAGTGAGGAGGAAACAACAGGTCGGTCAACATGTATATAAGGCTAATGGTTGAAAGGTAGATACCAAAAATAAATGAGGCATGCACAAATGAAACTGCAGATCTCATCCCTAGAACTTTAGGCCTGATGGGGAGAAGAACACGTGGCAGGTAAGAATAGGCATGAATTCATAATGTAGACTTAAGTAAAGAAGTGACCAGAGGTGGCTCAAGAGCATTGGAAGTGGCTTCCTAAAGGGGGTGGCATTTTGAACTTGCAGATGAATGCCTTGGATTTCCATCACCATTACTCAGTACAATTTGTCCCCTAACAGGTGAACGGCACCATGGTGACCAACAGTTCACACCTGGAGGTGGTGAAGCTTATCAAATGTGAGTTGAAGAGAGCTGACAAGAAGGAAAGTAGGGGCCTCCCTGGTGGCCTAGGGGTTAAGTCTCAGCATTATCACCTCACTCAGCAGTCGTCTCCTGTCTCGCCCACTGCTCCCCTCAACAGTGTATTTCAGTCAGTCTTGCCTGTTCTGCTCCCCACTCTGTCTCTGGTGAATCCTCTCACCACTCACACCTCTGGCCTACACCCCAGTTCTTCTGCACAAAAATTAATTAATTTTTTTTAAAGGGAATTAGGGGAGCAGATGGGCTGGGAGGGAGTGGGAAGACACAAAGGCCTGTTGGCCTAGGTAGCTTCCTTTATAGCTGTTAGAGGCAGCTGAAGAAGTCGTGGCTATCATGCTGATAGGACGGACCTGTGTAGGCTGCCTCAGCGCCCTCTTGTCATTCCAGGTGGAGACTCTCTCAGTCTCTCATCTCATCTTTATTTTTACATCCATCTTTTAAGACCACATCCTACTGCCATTTAGACCATATCCTGCTAAGACCAGGTCTTACCCAAATACCATTTGCTCCCCTCTCCCATTCATGAACATTCTTATTTGTTTCCTGGGAAGGGGGTAGAAATGGGGGCAAAAACATTCTGCTTGCAGAAAGACAATTGAATCTGCCAGGTAATTAAATAGAAGAACAAATGCTGAGGAAAGAATTAAAGGGTGTGTGACGTTTGGAGAAGGTGAAAGTCTAGACAGTGTGCTGGCTGGGGCTTTACATGAACTACTTAATTTAGAAGAGAAAACAAGGGCTTTGTGGGGCAGCCCTTCAGGAGTGTTCCCACATGTTCATGGGTGGGGTTTTGGTTACAGTCTCTGGATGAGGAAAGAGAAGGGAGGGATGTTTAAATTGATGCAGGGTAGGAGAACAAAAATTAGAGAATGGGTGGGACATTAAAAGGGAGGAGAACTTTATCTACAGAATTATAAACGTAATGAGAGGAGAAGGGACAGGAATCCCCTCTTGTAGCTGGAATGTCACTGTCCAGAACAAACCCACTCCTTCTGTATAACTCCAGCTGGTGCCTATGTTGCATTGACGCTCCTGGGCTCTTCACCCTCGTCCATCGGTGTCTCCGGGCTTCAGCAGGACCCAGCAGGAGCTGCCCGAATCACCCCTGCGATCCCACCACCACCACCTCCTCCACCACTGCCACCACCACAGCATATCACAGGACCCAAACCTCTGCAGGTAATGGTCCCGTGGGTACCTCGCCTCAGTCTTCTATCCTTTTTAGGGGCTCCCCATTGGGCAAGAAAGCAGGTTACATTAAACAGTGTGCAGGTAAGCAGAGACAGGCCACAGAAGTAGATGAAGACCATCAAAAGAGTTAAACAAAACAAGGATACAAGAAAGGGGTTGTTCCCTGCTTCAGTGTCCTTCTCCCTGTAAATGCATGTGCACTTTTATCCAACAGCAATAGGCTTGTGTTTCCTAAATGTGGGGTCTCTGAAGAGGCCCCTCCCCATCAGGGAAACAGTGCACACCTGCAGGCAATGACAGCACCAGTCACTGTCACAAGGGTAGAGTAAGTCACGCGGGGAAACAGCTGCTTGGAGGAACAACATGTGGCGCCTGGTGTGCAGATTCTGGAGGGACAGAAACAAGCAAGAAGAGAAGGAGGACTAGGTAGGCCTGTGGGAGGACAGGAAGCAGATAGGAAGAGGGGACAGGATCCTCCAGTTGGAAAGAAAACTAAACCAACATGTCCAAAGAGACTTCAGGGAACCAATTTGATACCATAGGTGATTACAGCCAAGGCTTCTAGGAAGTTCAGGAGTAAGAACAAAAGAAGGTACTTGGTATTATACAAGACATGCTTATGACCCATACTTATGACTCTTAGCTTTCCTTGCCCAGGAATGGGTGGGTAGAAGAGAATTCAGCCATTAAGCTGGTCCCCACCTCATACTACTATCTTAATTTTCTATTCTTAGGATCCAGAAGTTCAAAAACATGCCACCCAGATCCTTAGGAATATGCTGAGGCAGGAGGAACAGGAGTTACAGGTACGTCACTGCTGAGGGTAGGTGTGCCACGGCCTTACTGAAATAGTTCTTCATCACAGCAATCTACAAGGGGCACAACTTAACTTACAGGCCACATGCTGTCACAGTAAAACTTTGCAAAATGAAATTTCAGGGCAGCCAAAGAACTGCCAGAGTTCACTAGAATTTGTTAAAGCAGAATTTGATCAATAGGCTAAATAGGGCAGTAGAGTTCACAAAAGATAGATTAGGATAGTGACTTCGTAGACAGAATACAAACAAGTAATGAGACAGGTGGAATGAAATGAAGGAACATTAGAACTGAGGAAAATTAGAGTCCGCTGGAATTGATCTTGAAGGTTTCCAAGGAAAGGTAAGAAAGGAGGGTGGGGAAGGTAGGTGAGTGCTGGGCTAGGCTGACACAAGTGGGGCAGTGTTGGTGGAGGATGAAGAAATGACGGGCATTCCCACGCCTGGGAATGATGGGCAAAGGGAACAGTAAGGTTAATTTGACTGGAGTGATGTCACCAGATTCCTATAATAACTGTGGTTTATAGAGAGTTCCTCAATTCAGCAAATATCTCTATTTAAAGCATAGTTTCCTGTGGTCTGCAGAGATGAAAATGATTAGCCAGTTCTTACTCTCAACATGTTTAAAATCTAGTAGAGAAAATTCAAATTACAGTAGAGAAAGTAGAAGAACACAGAGCTTGCAATGAGAGAATAATAGACAGCAGTTAGTGATGGGAAAAGGTAAGGGAAACAGAGAGGATAGTGTTTCAGCTGGGCCTTGAAGAGCCAGGGTCTCATAAACAAAAGAAGTGGTGGAGAGAATGCTAGCGATTGGACAGCCATAGGTCAAAGATACAGAGTTATGAAAATACACTCATTTATTTAACAAACTTTGAGTTTCTGCAGCATGCTGGGTACTGTACTGTGTATATATGTTGCAGGAGAGGGAGGGGTCTGCTCGAGATAAAAACTGGAATGCTTGCAAAGATAAATGAGAGGTGAATCTTTGCTTGAAGGAGTTTGAAATCCAGTAGGATTTTTCAGTAGGATTATCAGTGGATGATTGAAGATATAGTTACATTAGAATGTAATAGGCACTGATACTGAGGTATTGGCAATTGTCATAGAATAATCAAGGTACTGTGGTACTGGTGTAAGGATAGATCTATAGATCAGTAAAATAGAACTCAGAGTCTCAGAATTAACCCATATATCTGCGATCTGTTATTTATTTATTTATTTTTAAAGATTATTTATTTATTTATTTATTTATACAAGCATTGGGTACAGTCAGAAGCGCAGGAGGGTGAGAGAATTCACCATAGCCAGAGCGGGGAGCAGAGCAGGCAGAAGGACCAAAGCACGCTGCTGTTGGGAGCAGCAGGCGGCAGGAGAGGTCTGCATACCATGTGGGACCCTCCTCCAGTGTCCGGGGAGCAGCCCGGGGATTGAACCGGCGCCGCAGAGGCTGCGGGCAGCTTCGCAACTCAGCGCTCAACCACTGCGCCACAGGGGAGGGCCTGTGATCAGTTAATTTTTGACAAAGTTACCAAGACAACTCAATGGAGAAAGAATAGTCTTTTCAACAATTTGATGCTGGGACTACTGGATATCCACATGCAAAAAAATGAATTTGGACCCTTACCTCACAAAGTAAACCAAATTTAACTCAAAATGGATCAAAGTCTTAAATGTGGAAGCTAAAACTATTCTTTTAAAACTACAAACCTCTTAGAAGAAAGCATGGATGTAACGTGCCCTTGGAATAGGCAGTGTTTCTTAGATATGACACCAAAACAACCAAAAGATAAATTGAACTTCATGAAAATTAAAAACTTTTATATGTCAAAGGGCACTGTTAAAAAGAAAAAAAGACAACCAGTTTACTGAATGGGAAGAAATACTTGCAACTCATATCTGATGAAGCCTTAGAATATATAAAGAATATATAAAGGATATATAGAATATATAAAGGATCTTAACATTCAATAAGACAAAGACAAATAACTCATTTTAAAAATTGGCAAAGGATTTGAGTTAGTCCCATAAAGAAGACATACAGATGGGAAAAGGTGCTCAACGCCCTTAGTTGGTAGGGAGATCATATAAAACTATAGTGAGATACCACCTATATCCATTAGGATGGCTAGAGTCAAAATAACAGAAAATAAATGCGGGTGAAATGTAGAGATTGGAGAAATGCTTCTTTATATTTTGTTTACATATATGCTATCCTAATCTATTTCCATTGTTAATGGTGAAAATGTAAAATAGAATAGCCACTGTGAAAATCAGTTTAAATGGTTCTTCAAAATAGTTAACATAAACACAGAAGTAAGATTCGTTAATTCCGCTCCTAAGTATATACCTAAGAGAATTGAAAACACATGTTCACACAAAAACCTGCGGCTGAATTTTAGTAACAGCATTATTCATAATAGCTAGAAAGAGGAAATAGCGCAAGTGTCAATCACCTGATGAATAAACTAATGTAGTATGTCCAAGCAATGGAATATTAAAGGAATGAAGTACTGATCCATTCTGTAACTTGAAAGAACGTTAAAAACATTGCACTAAGTGAAAAAAGCCAACAGCCACATGATGTATGATTCTGTTTACATGGAGGTCCAAAATAGGTAAATCCATGGGGACACAAAATAAATTAGTGGTTGCCAGGGGATGGAAGGAAGAAAAAATTGGGAGTAAATCCTTTCTTATTGGCATGATGGAAATGTTCTGGAATTAGATAGTGGGGATTGTTGTACAATTCTGTGAATATGCTAAAAACCACTGAATTGTATACTTTAAAGTAATGAAGCTTATGTTATGTGAATTATTGTCAGAAATAATTTTTTAAATATGAAAAACAATAGTGGGGGAATGGGAAATTTTTTAGAAATATTTTTGGTGCCATAGAAGCCCAAAAGGAGGGATAACTAATTATGAATGATTAAAGGATTCTTGAGATGACGCTTAAATTGAGTTTTGCCTGTCTTACTCTGAAAAGTTCTTTTGCCTTGAATAGTGTGATAAGCTTGGAGTTGATTCTGAAAACATGGAAGTGGGTCAAAGGATTTTGAGTAGGGGTGTGATGATTATCTTCAAATCAGGACTTTATAGAGAAGTGTGTTGAATAGATTGACAAGTAAAGAAACCATTTAGGAGGCTATTTCAGTAAGGTAAGAAATGGTAACAGACTGAACAAGAACAGTAGGAGTAGAACCAGAACAACAGCCCTGGGAGACACACTTCACAGGTCACTCCAGGAAAACTTATCAACTTGAAGGGGGAGGTAAGGGAGGAGAAAGAATAAAAGCTGGCCCCAAGTTTAGGAGCCTCAGTGGCTGGTGATGTGATTGATGGAGTGAAAGGCAGATGGAGCAGGGTTTACAGAAAGACTTGCAGGTTAGCCTTGGAAATACTGAGTATACAGTAGTCATGAGACATTCAGATAAAAAGACCAACAACCAGCTTTATGGAGACAACAGGGCTCAACCTCAGGAGAAGAGGAAGTCGAAATAAATGGGGGCATCCACAGTGCAGAGGATGGTAGTTGAGGCTGGAAACTAGTTATCACCCAGGGCATTGTGCAGGGGGAAGGAGCGAGCCAAGTGGGATCTGGGAACTTAGGTACACCAACCTCTGTTGTCACATCACTTCCTGTTAAATATTTGTAGTTTGTCCTTCTCCCCTATTGGACTAAGTTCCTTAAAACCAGGGCTCATGCCTCTTATCTCTACCTTTGTATCTTCCTCCTCAGCTGGCATGGTGCCTGGCATAGACCCTCTCTCTGTCAATGTTCACAGAGTTGTGGACGTGCTTAGATTGAAGAGAAGAGGCAGGGAGAGAGCCATAGTTGGGGAGGGGTTTGAGGAGACCCTGGGGAGCAAAGAGATGGGAAGTCAAAAGAGGGCATCCTGAGGAGGACTTTGAAGAGGCCTGAAGAGATGAACACTCAGCAGCAGGGACCAGGGGTTTGGCTGAGGGAGCGGCTATTTGAGGTAATGGGAGGAACTACGTTGTGTACGCCAAGGAGTGACCATAAGACAAAGACGTCTGGACTCCTGTTTTGAAAGGAAGGAGAAAAGAATGGGACAGTGGCTTGTAGAATAATCAAAGTTGATGGGAAGGGTTTTGTTGTGGTGGTTTTTGTTTTAAGACAGGAAACTTGAAGGTTTTTGTAGGGTGAGGAGAAGGCGCCATTAGAAAGAGGAAACTTTCAGAGTCTATGAACAGTGCCCCAGGCAGTTGGAGGCTTTAGCCCTGTACAGGATTTAGACAGTTTCTCTTCTGAAGCAGGGAGAGAGAATGGCTGTGATTCCCTCTGTAAAGAGGGAAAGTTCTTACTTGGTGATATCATCTGCCAGGCAAAGTAAAGGGATGGTGGAGGGTGGAGGGGCTTGGGTTTGATAGGTTTGGAAGATATGAAATGATAAGTATGAGGAGTTGGTAACAAAAGGTTGTCAAGTAGCACTGTGGTGGGATGGGGGTTGGGGGGTGGCAGTGAGGGGGTCAGAGGAGCTTACAAAATATATGTAGCAATGTCTTTATTTAACTAGCCAGCTCTATGGAACATTTCTTTTTGTAGTAAAACAGTAATAGCTGCCATTTATACGGTCATGTAATTATGCCCCAGACAGCCTGCTATCACTTCTCGTACATAATCTCATTCAGGTCTTACAGCCATCCCAGGAAGCAGGTACTGTCATCTCCATCTTATCGATGAGGACCTATGAAAGCTTGCCCAGGTCTACACAGCTAGTAAGTGGAGATACCAGAACTCAAAGGGAGATCTCCTGAACTGCAAAGCCCAAGCCCTAAATGTGTGTGCTGTGCTCTGCTGCACGTCAGTGTGGCCCCCCCACCGGAGGTGGGAGGAGGAGGTGCTGGCCCTGGTCAGGCTCTTCCTCTCATCCCGGGTGGTTGTCACATGTGTAAGTTTTCTCTTTGGTGCTTTTTTTGTGCTGGTCTGGATGGTCACTTAAATATCTGACACTTGAGTAGAAGTCAGGGAAGACCTACAAGGTGTTTAGGATGTGGGACTTAAGCCAGCTCTTGAAGAGTGGGTCAGACTAGGACAGACCTTCGTGTGCATCTTCCTCCAGTTGCCTCATGTGTTCTGCTTCTCCCTATTTACACCTTTCTCTGCTGCTAAACGATGGTGAAATGACATGCATCCAACTAGAAGGCAGAGCTCTCTTCTCTCTCCTCCTTGTTTTGGGGTAACTGCTGTTCTCCCCACTGGTAAAGTTGTCTGCTCTTTACTAACCAGCCCTTCTGCCTTCTTCCTCCCCTGCGCCTTCCACACCCCCAGCGTATCTGTGAGGTGTATAACCGGAAACCCGCTAGCGAGCTGGAAGAACAGATGGAAGGTGCCCGACGGCGAGTCTCCCAATTACAGCTGAAGATCCAGCAGGAGACTGGTGGCTTAGTGGTGAGTGATAGCAGGTGCAGCTCCAGAAAGGGCACTCAGGTGACTGGGGGAGAACTAGGGAAGAAACCAGGCCAAGACTCCAGAAGGCAGGCAGGACCTGGGGCTGAGCTAGTAAGTTTGTATTTTACAAAAAACAAAGTCAGCAAGTCTTTACTCAGCACCAGAGGGACTATAAAAAGAAAAGTCCTAATTCCTGCCCTCCAGAAGCTTACAGTTGTAGTGGAAAGAACTAAATTAGACTAGCAGCTTTAGTCCTCTGCCTCTCTGTCCCCTCCTGAGTAGTTTCCTCATAGCTGATGTACATTCCTGCACAGCTTTTACTCAGCCTTCATCTCGTAGCTTATTCTACCACTTCTCCCTCAGGCATTGTGTCTTTTTTTTTTTTTTTTTAGAGATTTAGTTGGCTTTATTAAATAGTTCCTGAATTGCATCCCACCCCACCTAGATACTGCCTTGGTCCTTTTTAGGGTCAGTAGTAATTAAAGGGTTCCTGACAAGGGAGAGGCACCCACAGCAGCAACTAACCACACTTTGTGGGAAGTCACAGAGAAGAGACAATTACTTGTCTCCTTGTCTGTTCTAGTCAGGGACTTTGCTGTTTGTGTCTGCCTTATCTTCATCAGGCCTTAATTCTTTGGGTAAATAAGAAGTAGCTACAGAAACTTAAAGGTCTCCGAGAATAATATTTGCCAAAATCAATAGAAATCAACTGAGGATTATCTACTTTCTTTTTTAGAATATCCAAATGTCCTGGGATATTCTAATCAGAGGCTAATCAGAGTTAAGCTATTTTACTTTCTGAAGGACTCTTCAGGGTCATGTGGGTGACAGGAACCCCGGTTGTGGACTTGGACCATCTGGAGTCATCCCAGCCCTGGTGCTCACCAGCATTAAGACTCCTGGGCAAGTCACCTGATCCCTGGGAGCCTGGGAGGCATCATTTCTAAAACGGAGCTCACAGCACTTCTGTCCCACGGGTGACTGAGGGAGTGAAAGCACACCTCCACAGGCCGGGCACGGTGCTGCACAGCCCCGCTGCACAGCCACGGGGTCTGCGTCTTCATCGTCTGCAAGGTGTGAGTCTTGGACTCAGGGTCTGAGCATCAATTCTGGCTTAAAGTTTCCTGGCTGTGTAGCTTGGGCAAGTTACCTAAGATCTCTGGACTTGTGTCCTCGTGTGTGACATAGGAGTACTATACCTGCCTCAGAGTTGTTGAAAGAGTCAACGAGTATAGAAAAGAGTGCTTCATAAACAGTGAGGCTCTGGCAACATGGCTCCTGCCACATTGGCTGGGTGTCAGCCCTAGACCAGCACCTTCAGTCCACCTCAGAGGTCTTTAGATGTGACCTTTTATGTCTTCCCTCAGCCACTTGCTGGAGCTTTTCTACTTTCTGATAGGAGGTCCTTTTTGTGTGTAGCCCAATTAAGGCAACAGATACTCTGCATCCAGAGTGATAAATCAAGTGAGGTTTTTGAATTTTATTAAAGGTAGAAATCTTTTTCTACCATTAGGGAACACTGTCTTCATCTGTATGGCTGTACAGATGCATCAAGAGCTCTTCCAGTTGGGCATTTTTAAGGCAGTGAAGCAGAAGAGGCTGTTAATTGTAAGCAGATACTATCTGCTGAGACTGAAGAAGGGTTGACTGAAGGAAGGAAACAGTAGGGGAGAGATTCCCAGGACTTGCCCACCTACCACATCTTTCTTTTTGTAGGACGTGCTTCCACTCTGTGGTGACACCAGCCAGAGAGCATCAGAAGGTGAGCCTCCCATGTCCCTTCCTGGCAAATCTCTAGTCCAGGGTTCTTACCAATTGTGCCCTCCCTACGAACAGAAGATGCACAGTACCTGCCCTCTGGGAAGTGGACTCATGAGAGAAAGCCCTGCCACTACCCAGGGAAACTGGCTACGGCTTACTCTGTAGAAATGAGTTGCCCTGAATAGCCAAGTAGGGGGATGTTGGATGATGTCGAGGGACAGCCTGCCTACAGCACCAGCTCTCAGGAGCGCTACCACATGGAGAGAAATTGGAGAGGCTGAGATGAGCTGAGGGGAAAGCCTCATGATGAGGTAGACCTGTAGCGTTATATCAGGAGGTGACATGATCTGGGCACAACTAGAGGTTGGTGTAGTGCATTGGACTAGGGGGTCATGACAAGAGAGAGCTGAAGGGAAACTGGGAGACAAAGGAAGGGAGATACTACAGGTACCCAGAATCAAGGTTCCTCTTTGCCCCAGGTCTCAGCTCCTTACCATATAAGCTATTTCCTTCTCAGGCCGACTCTCCCTGGATTCACAAGAGGGGGACAGCGGCTTGGACTCTGGGACAGAACGCTTCCCTTCCCTCAGCGAGGTGAGTGCTAACAAGCATGAGCCTCTTTTTAACTCCACATCTAGGGGCCTGGTTGCAGTTCTAAGGATTTAGTCACTGTGCTCTGGGTTTCAAAATGGTTCAGATGTTTCTTTCGTGTGGGATCATCAAATCTGGTTTCTGTGGTATCATAGTCAATTCTGTTATATAAAGAGCAGAGTGGAGAGAGAGGTCATGTCATGAACTCCAGCAAGTCTTGAGCAAAAAGGAACAGCGTCACAACCCATCTGAAAGGCATGTCTGCAGTGAGCATCATCTTAGAGTAATGCAGCAAACCCAGCTCAGTCAGAAGTGGCGGCCTCTTTCTTTGCAGATCTTTTTGTTCTTGAGCAACTCCTCTTTTCTGGAGTGGTCAAAAGAATTTCAGGTTTTGGCCTCAAAGGTTACCCTTCCACATGCAAGTTTGCATTTGTAAACTGCAAATATAAGTCTGTGATATAAAAATAAGATTCCACAGAAGAAATAATGATATTAGCAAAATATTTACTTAGCCAGGTTGATTAAGATGAGTTAATTAGTTGAAAACCTGTTTAAAATCTAATCTTAAATAATAGTTGAAAAATATATGTTTGTGGGAAGATGATGACTGGGAAGGACATCCCATCTATGGGAACGACACCACGAAGTGGGTGGAGGGGTTCGGTAAATAATCTATAGTTGACATTATCCTGAGGGCTTGCCATCTGGAGGCAGCATGCAACTTGGCAATGTGGACTGTGGGTTAAGACGGCCTGGGTGAAATCCAAGGACTACATTGCTAGCTGTTCTACCTTCGACTGGTCTTATAATCTCTCCAAATTGTAGTTTCATTGTATGAAAGTGGAAGGAATAATGGTTCCTACCTCAGGGGGCTACTGTGAGAGTCAGTGCACTAATATGCAGTCAGGGCCTTATAATGCTTGGCACAGAGAAAGCCAGTTTATGTATTAGCTGCTGAGTGTGCTCACCACCAAACAAGCCTAGCCCTGAGAATCTTCTGAACGGGTTTTCTTCTCACAAACTCCTCTGTTGCTCTAGTCATTAATGAATCGGAACTCAGTACTGTCAGACCCCGGGCTAGACAGTCCACGGACCTCCCCAGTGATCATGGCCAGGGTTGCCCAGCACCACAGGCAGCAGGGCTCTGATGCACCCGTCCCACCCACTGGCAACCAGGTGAGTGAGCCAGAGCCACCTACAGTTTCCTTTCCCTTGTTTCAGAACTGAGTTACCACTGTACAGCCTTGAATAATCTTAGGTGTTTTGAGATAGACATCTAGAGAACAAGTAGTAAAGAAAAGGAAATAGATGTTTCAGAATTACTTCAGAACACTAATTTTCAATTTTCTCTTCCTTTAGCAGAATCCTTTCCTTAAACAAAATCTTATTATTCACGGGCCTCCCCGGTGGTGCAGCGGTTGAGTGCTGGGTTGCAAAGCTGCCCGCAGCCTCTGCAGCGCTGGTTCGATCCCCGGCCACTGGGCGAGGGTCCCACATGGCGCGCAGACCTCTCCTGCCGCCCGCTGCTCCCCTCAGCAGTGTACTTCATCAGTCTGCCTGCTCTGCTCTCCCTTCTGGCTCTGGTGAATTCTCTCACCCTCCCGCGCTTCTGACTGTACCCAGTGCTTGTATAAATAAATAAATCTTTAAAAAAAAAAAAAATCTTATTATTCACATCCCAATAGAGAAAGCAGATAAATACTCAGCTTCCCTGAGAACTTTCCTGGTTAGCCTCCCCAGCCCCAGAGCCCTAAGGCTCTGCAGAATCTCATTTGAAAGCCATTTGCTGGCAAGGGTAGAACTAGGTCCAGGGGAGATCTAACGAAGACTGGTTTTGGTGGGGTTTTTTTGTTTGTTTGTTTTTTTTTTTTTTTTTTGGAAGATTTATTTATTTATGATTACAAGAACTCAGGTACAGGCCCAAGGTGTGGGAGGTGAGACGATTCACCAGAGACAGAGCAGGGAACAGAATAGGCAGATAGACCCAAGTAAACTGCTGAGAGGAGCAGCGGGCGAATCAGGAGGGGTCTGCTGCGCCAGATGGGTAGCTCCCTGGCCAGGGATCGAACTCGCACTGAAGAGACTGTGGATAGCTTCACAGCGATGTGCTCAACCCCTTGCGCCACCAGGGCACCCCACAAGAGCCTCAACCTCTTGCACCACCAGGGAGCCCTACAAGAAGACTGGTTTTGGCAGAAAGATTGCAAAGAATCTGGCCTGACAATGGAGTGAGCTGACTTGAGAACCAGGGAATTGCCTGTCAGTGTTTAGGTAGAAACTGGGCCCCTACCTGCCAGAGATATTGGGAAGAATCTTCCACTTTTGTGAAACAGTGTTTCTTAAAATGCATCTGCTACCTCAGTAATGATTTTTTTTCCATATCTTTAAACCAGTTATATAAATAAATGTTACTTAATAATTTTATTTAAGCTAACTCAGTTTTTAAAACTTAGATTTATTTTAAAGGAAGTCTGTCATTACCTTAAATTAAAACCAGCATCACACACTGTCTGGTGCTCTGGTTTTACCCATAGGATAGGATTTTGTTACTTTTAGATCCTGGAAAAGAAAATGGATCTAACAAGTCTTAAAATGCCTGGTGTACCAGCTGCTGTGCTAGATCTTTAGGAAAAAAATATCATTTAATTCTCACAATCAGGAAAGGAAGGAAGTAGACAATAGAATCTTCATTTCGGCAGTGAGAAAACTAAGGCTGAGAAAGCTTAAGGGAGTGTTGTTCAAGGACACCATTGTGGGTGGCAGTGTCAGACTAGACCCTAATTTCCCTGAACCCCCAAGCAGGCTACTCTTTGCCTCATGCCCACCCACCCCCTCCATCTCACACCGGGCGCTTCAGCACCAAGTTCAGGTACATCTAATATTCTTAAGGGAGGTTTTCCTTTAGGTGGTCAATAGGAGCAGGTGTGGAGTTATTAGTCTTGGGGCCCTCTTTGTCCTCCTCTGAATTTGTTCATCTTCTGAAAAAGTTTATTTAAAGTGCTACTTTTAAGTGGTGACAGCTAACATAGTACACTTCTTTTCTTTCTTTTTTTTTAATAGAGGCATGTTTTTTTTTTTTATTTATTTATTTGTTTGTTTGTTTTTTGTTTATACATGCACTGGGTACAGTCAGAAGCGCGGGAGGGTGAGAGAATTCACCAGAGCCAGAGCGGGGAGCAGAGCAGGCAGAAGGACCGAAGTACACTGCTGAGGGGAGCAGCGGGCGGCAGGAGAGGTCTGCGCGCCATGTGGGATCCTCCTCCGGTGGCCGGGGAGCAGCCGGGGATCGAACCGGCGCCGCAGAGGCTGCGTGCAGCTTCGCAACCCAGCACTCAACCGCTGCGCCACCGGGGAGGCCCAGTACACTTCTTTTCTTAATAATTGTGTTCGTGAACACAGAAACCTGTGCTATCTATGAAACTGTCAACAGCAGGGGCATAGAATAATGGAAACTTTCTCTCCCTTTCCCTTAAATCATTTTGTACTTTTTGGCACACAGAAACCCTGAGCAGCACTGTGGTAGGCACCAGACTTGGTGGGGGGGGCGCCAGGGTAGAAGGCTGTTTAGGAAAATACCCAGACCCCAAGCTGACAGTCCAGTAGGAATGAGAGGTTCTTGTTTTTTTCAGGTTATACTTCCTCCCAAGATCTTTCACAAACAGGAAGAGACACTTTCTCTCACTTCCCATCCTCTTATGCCCTGTGACCAGGGTGCTCTGCCCCACCCAGAAGCAGTTGACTTCCTGCAAGGGGAAATAATTGTTTCTATTCTCTGAGATGAGGGGTGGGAGTGAGATGTCAGCCTCAGCCAGGCCTGTGTAGCCTTCCCTGCTGCTGCTCAACAACTTCGCTACATAGTTCAGAGCCCCGTCTACTTACTCTCATCTCTACAATTTGGCTCTCTCCCCCAGAGTGCAGATCAAAGCTCAAAACCTTTAATTATTGGCCCAGAGGAAGATTATGACCCAGGGTATTTCAACAACGAGGTAACTTTTCCTGCTTTCTTCCCATTGTTATTCTACCATTTTGGTCACTTTTGACTAGAACAATCTGACCAGCACCAGCTGTGAGGGAGCATGGGCGGGCACCAGACTGGAGCAGGCTATGATGCAGCACCCTGCTTCTGTGCCTCGCAGCTGTCCTTGTCCTTCTGCCTTCCAGAGCGACATCATATTCCAGGATCTTGAGAAACTTAAGTCACGGCCAGCTCACTTGGGGGTTTTTCTCCGTTACATCTTCTCTCAGGCAGATCCCAGTCCACTGGTAAGTCACAGTACCAGCTTTGATTGGTTGCCTGCTTGTATTAGGAAGGAGGATCTCTGGCCTCTGGGCCTGCTCTGTAGATGTTTTAAATCAGATCTTGGGCACAGTCGGGTGTCTCACAAACAGAGACAAAATAGAAGAGAAGCCGCAACCTAAACAGAAGGGACTTTTACTGCTAACTCCATCCATGGCATAAGGAGTGGCAGAAAGAGCTAGACCAGGAAACCACCATCCTGGATCAGCTTAGAGAAGATGGCCTTTGTAGAGTTTCATGAATGAAGGTAAATACAGACCGACTAGAGAATTGAAAGGATGGCCCTTGCAAATATACTGTGTTACTACAAGAAAGTTTAAAAGAGATACAGAGGATAGTATTGAGATTACGAAAGGAGAGCAGAGCCCCTGGAGCAGCACTTGGAGCCAGCAGCCCCACATTCTGCTCAGCTGCTTAGAGATGAAGGTGAAGGGTTACAGCGTCTTCTTCTGGACAAGCTTTGGCCAAGGCAGCAGCAGTAGCATTTCTTTCTGAGGGTACTACTCTTAGAAGCCAGAATCAATATCCATTTATTCATCAGGAATTCATTGAACATCTGTGTGTAAATCCCAAGTGTTGGCACCTCAGAAGTTTTCCTGAGTGAAGGTGGACATTTCCCAAAGGGAAATAAAGCACTAACTCTTAGAAAACCTTGTATAATTAAGTAAATACAAGACACAGAAAAGCAAGGTGGAGAGGTGCAGAACAGAGGCGTGATTGTGTGGGAAGTGGGTGTGTATGTGGAGGCAGAGAGGTGGAGATTCTTTACCGCAGGTCTCTGAAACACTCTTATCCAGGGTTTCTTAACCTCAAAGCCTCTCGCATATTGAGCCGTAGGCTTCTTTTTTGTGGAACTATTGTGTGCATTGTGGGATGTTTACTGCATCACTCCACCCAGTAGATGCCAGTAGCTTCTCTCCCCATGTAGCCATCAGAAACATCTCCAGACTCTGCTGATTGCAGAGACGGGAGAGTTAAATTACTGCTGGTTGAAAACCACTACTTTAACCCATTTTATCTCTTCTCTCAGCTTTTTTACTTATGTGCAGAAGTTTATCAGCAGACAAACCCCAAGGATTCCCGAAACTTGGGAAAAGGCATCTGGAATATTTTCCTAGAGAAAAATGCGGTAAGGCAGTCATGGATTGATTTAAAATTTTATACTCTTTGGACCACTCAGAGGCAGAGGGAACTTTCAGCCAAACGTTTCAGGCAGAGTAGATACAGGTTATTAACGAGAAGTATAGGCTGAGAATTTAGCATCTCTGGATTCTGTTTTAGCTCTGCTCCCTAAAAACCCATCTACCTGTATCTCCTTTGTTCTACCTGTAACAAGGTAGACTACACATTGCCTCTCTAAAATGTTTGGAGGAAGATTGCATCAGCGATGAATTACTCTTTCCAGTATCAATACTCTGGTCCCCCACCACTCCCTGCTTTTGCCCCCCTTCCTGGGACAGAGAAATAAGCCAGAACATTGCACAATGGAGATCAGTGAGCCAGGAGAAGAGCCCAGGTTTCCAAGGCTCAGATTGACTTGCTATCACTGCTCCAAATCAAGATCCAGCAGGAGGAACCCCAGACTATGTGTAGATGGCACTCTGCGTGGGGACACAGTCCCAGAGCTTGTGATAGGGCTCCCACCTAGGAGGGCAGTGTCCATCCTAGACTTCCTACTGTAGTCTATTAAATGATTCCCAGGATGATTGTTCATCTAGCAGTAAGCTAATAAAACTAATGAGATTGGGAAATCAACTTTTTCCTCAAGATACCTATTTGCCTCATTAAGGGGTCTTGAGTAAGGAGGTTAGAGATGCCAGTCATACCCTGTTGGTTGGTACAGAACCCTCACTACCCAGGTGTCGGGAACTCAGGAAGCAGAAGCCAGATGCTGTGTTAATTGGAAGACTTGGTAACATCAGTTAACTTTTCCCTTGGGAGTGAAAGGGAGTGAGAAGGCCTTCAAATAGCCTAACAAAGGTTCCACCTTGTTGCTAAATTGGCACCACGCCACTTTTTGGAACATTCATTGCTCATAAACCTATCCTAAAACTCAGATCTACAGGCTGGAGAGAGGTGAGAGGCGGATGGGGTAGGGAGAAGGAAGATGGCCGTGTTCCAGAGCCCTCCTTGCCCTGCATATGCCTCCTTTGTTAACCCAAGGTGTGAACCTCACCACTTCTGCCCCCTCTCTTCTGTTTTGTAGCCTCTGAGGGTGAAGGTGCCAGAGATGTTACAGGCTGAATTAGGTAAGTTGGCTCCTTGGTCTCTTCCTGGGCCCTCAGAAAGCTCCAGGGACAGAGAGGGCATAATCCTTGTGTTTGACTAGCTTTCCTCTATCTAAGAAAAAATAGGGACAGTCTTCCAGAAGTCCTCCCGGTAGCTGATGGATAGGCACAGGGGTGACAGACCCTGCCTTGGAGCTCGCTCTGCTGATGCAGCTTGGCCCAAAGAAAGAACACTCTAAGGAGACGTGGGCTCATTTTTGCCAGCTCTCCCCTGACCTCTCAGGGCCTCAGTTTGCTCATCTAGTCAAAGAAGTTGGGCTCAATTAGGGTCATCCTAGCCTGGTCAATCCTCAGAATCCCTTGGAGAGCTCTTCAGAAATACAGAAACCAGGGCCTCATCCATCCCGCCTCATCCATGTCCTAGGATATCTGGAGTGTTTGGTGTTTTATTTTTGCTTTAGTTTTTAGAGTTCCTTAACTAAACTTGGTAACAGCTGGTCCAGAGGGAGGACCCAGTGTCCTGGGAGACTGCTTGGCCTTCTCATTCTCAAGGCCTGAGTAGAAAGGAGAATGAGCCCTAGAATGTGCACTTTGAAGTCACAGGGCAGCCAGCACCTGGACACTCATGAGAGGGGCTTTATAATTTCTCTAGTTAATAGAGTGTAGAACACCCTTGCCTTGGGACTTGGGTGTCATGACTCCAGCCCTGAATTCAGGAATAACCTGGTAGGTCCAGGCCTCTGCCTCCTTAAAGCTAACAGGAGGCCAGAAAGTCAGCCTCCCTTCCTGGGGCCAGAGGAAGCTAATAGGCTTCAAGATGCTTACAGAAGCAGCCTCATCTTCCCTGACATGCCAGTTCACTTCTGTCTTCCCTCGGCTTCCACACAGACGCGCGCCTGCGGAGTGGTGAGGATGCTCGTGCCCTTCTCTGTGATGCCCAGGGGGCAGCCATGCCAGAAATCCAGGAGCAGATCCTTGACTACAGGTTGCCTTGCCTTCTATGCCCTCTCCTCTCTGCCCCTTCACCCTTTTCCTCTCCCCTGTGATATGGTCTTTTGTTCTGTGCACACTTCCCTCACTCTGGGAGCCTGTCTCTGAGTGTCTGTGTGCATTTGTTTCTTCCTCTGTGTTTCTGACTCAGAACCAAGCGCACCCTGGGGCTGGGCAGCCTATATGGTGAGAACGACCTGCTGGACCTGGACGGGGACCCTGCCCGAGAGCGCCTCGTGACTGAGAAGCAGCTGGCTGCCCTAGGGGATATTTTGTGAGTCAGCAGTCCCTCTCCCACCCACTAAACTTGATGAGCAGACTAACATGTTGCGTGTGTCTGTTTCCAGACCACTCCCCCTCTTCCACTTCTTGCCTGAGTCTTCCTCCCCTGAAAGACAGGAGCACCCCACCTCCTGCTGCATTCCCCAGGCCCAGGTTTGCCGCTGTTGCAGGGAGTTGTTGGGCCTGGAGCACCTGACAGTGGTTATGACACCACAGGCTTGGGAGCGTGGTGAGCTTTCGGCTTCTCCTTTCCAGTCCTCCTCCTGACCTTTGTGCCTCTGTAGTCATATCTGACATGCGTGTGAGAGCCACGCTGAGTCTCCAGTGGATATAGTTCCTTCAGGAGGCAAATAGGACTGGCTTATGGGAAACTGAGCCGTCTGTTACTGATCACATCAAAAGACTAACCTAACTGAGGTTGAAGAACCTCTGGCACAACCGCTGGTGTTGCCCCTTTCCACTTCTGTTTTCTGAAGTGTTGCAGGCGCCCGTGATGATGTTGTGAGGATGCTTCCAGTCTTGGAGGACCATTTGCCCCAGTACTCCTTCTCTACTAAGTAGTAGTATGACCTTGGTCACACTGTTTCATCTTCTTGGTCTCATCTATAAAGTGACAAAAGTTGGGCTAGATGATTTCCATAGTCTCAGCTAATGCCGATATTTCAGTTCAGCAATTGTGGAATTCCGACTGTGTGCTAAGCACTACTCTAGCTCCGGAGTACATAGTAAACAGAACAACAGTTACAGAACTTATATTATAGTGGGAAGAGAAAGCTATGCAGAAAAATACGTACATTGTAGAGTGTGTTAGAAATACAAGTTCTGGGGGGAAGTAGAGCAGGGGGAGAGGGCAGGAGTGCCAGAGCCAGTTGCAGTTTTAGAGCCGTCAGGGTGAATGAACCTCGTCCAGAAAGTGACATTTGAAGAATGTACAGACAAGTTGTCCTTGAAGACATCTAGGGAAGAGCATCCCAGGCAGAGGGAACAGCCAGGGCAACATGGACATATGTTTGAGGGACCATGGCAGCCCAGAGCAGAGGGGGAGCAGGTGTGCCAGGCTGGAGCGGAACAGGCGGGGCAGCCACCTGCTACTGTTGTAGGATTTGGCTTTCACGCTCAGTGTGAGGGGAGCCATCGAGGTGATGGGAGACTCGGTGGTGGAGAGCAAGAGAAGGTCCCAACAGGGAGGCCAGTCACAGGAATCCAAGCCCCAGGGACTCAGACCAGTATAGATGCGATGGCGGTTGTGCAGAGAGGTCAGTGCTGAGTAGGTCTTGACAGTAGACCCAATCAGAGAATTTCCTACAAATTGAGTGTGGATATGAGAGAGACAAGTCAAGACTTCATCTTTTTTGCTTAAGCTACTCAAAGGATGAGAGGGCCACCAGTTGAGATGGGGAGGCTACTGGTGGAGTTGTTCTGAGGGAGAAATCAAGACCTCTGTTTCAAGCACATTCAATTTGAGATCTTTTAGATCTCAGTCTGGAGACTTGAGCAGGCAGCTGCATACCTGAATCTGGCATTTGGTAAGATGGGACCAGACAAGGTTCCACAGGAAGGGCATGCTATTTGGAAGCAACCTTCTGACCTTTAGCCAAACCCAACTCTTCCTGGGCCTTAGTTTCCCTTGTGGGCAGATGGTGGTAATCACCTAACCGCTGCAGGGCTGGAGGCAGAGCTGAGCCTGTTCAGAGATCATGGGCACCGCCAAATTAAATGGAATTATAATTGACAGCTTAAGGTGCCCCTGCTTACAGTGGTTTCTATTTAAAGCAGTGGAGTTTCAGTCTCAATAATAGCAACACAATACCTACTATGGATTATTTTGAGGATTAGATGGGTTAGCACATAAATAGTGTAGTGCCTGGCCCATAGATACAGTCCCAGGTCAGTTACTCTTAACCATTTACCTTCTCTAAATGGGTTTCTTTGAGCTGGTCTCAAGTATCACCTCTGTTCTCTCCCCTCATTCTTGCCTCAGCGTTAGCCCAGTCCTCCTGGCTTTGCTCTAGATGGACACAGGAGCACAGAAACCTCTTCCTCCATAGTAACGTCACGGGTTGAACCAGATACCAAGACGCTGTGTGTGCCACATTCCCCTTCATGTTAGCAAGAAGGACGTCATTATCATCATCACTCTGTGCTGAGCTCCTTAGGAGAATGAGAGCTCTCACCTCCTGAGTTCAGAGCTGAGACCAAGAGTCTGAGTCTGCCCTTCTCTCATCCTCCTCCCTGCTTCCCCACCCTCCCATTCTCCAAGGAAGAACTGGCCCTCCTCCCAGTCTCAGCACAGGCAAACAGGCCTCTGTCTTTTTGGTCTGAGTCATCTGTTCTTTCTTTTGTTCCAGATCCAAATACGAGGAAGACAGGAGGTGAGTGGGTTCGAGGTGGGAAAGAGTGGGGTTGAGCTCCCGTGCTTTCCATCCCTGCAAGTCACAGGGAGTCCCTAGCATCATAGGCTCTCGTAAGCCACAGTCTGTCCAAGTTTAGTTCGCTGGTGAAACTAGCACAGTCAGGTCCTGAGGTCCAGACCCCTGACTCTCAGGGATTACTGCCTGGGATGAGGACTGCTTCTCAGTGTGAAGCCTCCATACTGCCATCCCTCCTAACATCTCTGCCCGTGGTCTCCTCTTCTTCGTCAGAACTAGCCCTGTGCCTCCCTTCCCTCAAACTACCTTTAAGAGTGACGGTGATAGGATCGGCCTTGTTAGATCTCCTGCAGTGGGGATCCCAGCACTGTTTCCTGTATTGGCACATATGTTCTCAGAATGTTAAAATAAGTGTGTGCTCCCTGAGCATACACATACTTAATAAGGAAGAGAAGATAGCATTGGAAGCTTAAAAGCAGAAGCATTTGCTGCATTGAATCCACAAAGTGAATAATATGTCTACTGAATTGAGAGCCAAATATATTTTTAAACACAGAGGTCTGGACAGTGTCATTTGTGGCATTTGGAAGCTGCCTGACAGTGCTCTTCCATACCTGTCTGTACAAGGGGTGGGGTGGTAGAGGCAGTACACCTCAGCAAAGGCCAGTGGTGTATGTCCTCTCCCCTTTGTCTTTGCCTCCCCTTACACACGCATAAATGCCAGAGGATCCTGGCCCATCCTCCAGCTCTGCCCATGACTAGTGTGCCTACATTTTAGAGAACGGACATCCTTCCATCCTGTCATTAGGAAGAGTTCTGCTGAACTCCTGAGAATAATGTTTCTTCTGAGAATAATGCCAGCCATTTAGCCAACTTCTGCCTACAGTCAGTCCCTTTTGTGTTCCAGGCCTCCCTCTGAATTCTGACCCCAAAGTTCTCCCTTCACCATCCCACTGGGTGCTGAGGACCTTGTTAGAAGTGGGATTTTGTTCCTTCCACCTGCTGGAACATACATGGCCCAGCTTTCACCAGCCCCTGTTCCTCTCTCACAGCGCCCCCATGGACTTTGCCGTCAGCACCTACATGAGCCATGTTGGGATCCGTCTTCGAGAGACACGACCCTCCAACACAGCCGAAAAGGCCCCATCTGCTCCTGACAAGGACAAGTGGCTGCCCTTCTTTCCAAAGACCAAGAAGGTGACAGAACTCCCCTAGCAAGTGCCTTCAGGTCTCTGTCCTCAGCAGCTTGGGGAAGCCAGTTCTCAGGTTCTTTCTGTCACCTATAGAAGTGGAGTCCATGAAGAGTCCCCTTCCCCCAGGTCAGGAGATGTGCTGCTCAGGACACAGACAGGATGTTACACTCCAGATACTAGCCTGTGGCGAGCTTGGGGGCAGTGGCAGAGGGAGTGGTGACCAGACCTGGTACCGGGACCTTCTCCAAACCACAGTGCTTCTTGTCTCAGCAGAGCAGCAATTCCAAGAAAGAAAAGGATGCCTTGGAGGACAAGAAGCGAAATCCCATCCTCAAATACATTGGGAAGCCCAAAAGCTCTTCCCAGACCAGTGAGTATTGGGGAAGCAACCACCTTCAGCAGTGATCTAACCTGCACTTTCCAGGACATTACAGGAGCACAGCCCCACACTCAGGCCACAGCTTCCTCTCAGTGCACTGCGCTGTCCCCTTGCCACACTTCATACAGGCTCTTTGAGCTGCAGGTAACTGCTTCAGGGCCAGGGAGGCCATGCAGTCCTGGATCTGAGTTTATGAACTCAGTCAACTGTAGCTATCAGCTGGCCACGCAGGACAGTATTTCGTCCTTGGCAGAGATTGCTCTGTTGACCCTCAATACCCCTTCAGCCTTGTCCATGGGTTCTCTGTACTCCTGAGGTCTTGTGTGTTAGGAGCAAATCCGGGCCCTTAATGGGGAGTTTGAGTCACTACTAAGCAGAACTAGGTGAGTAGGTGGCAGGTTTTAGACTCAAAGCTTCCCCTAATACCATATGTAACCCAAAAGTCAGTTTATCCAATCATTTATTTCTCCCAGCTGTGTCTGAAATGGCTGCTGGCCCTCCCAGTCGGTATCTGAAGACCCCACTATTAGTGGGAATCTGTGAAGGGCCATGGGGTGAGCCTGCTGCTTTTTCTGAAGTTGCTGCTTTGGGGGAGGTAGGAGGGAACACTTCGAGATCAGCCTGATTTTTACCAGTACCTTTTCATTTTCCAGCTTAATGTAATTTTTGTTTTGACTCTTGAAACATTTAATTTGACTTTTCATGGTTTACTTTTGTTTTTGTTTGTTTTCTTTTAGCATTTCATAATCCCTTGTCCCCTGTGGAAGGTAAAAGGACCATTTTCTTTGGGTTTTCCTTTGCATTAGCGTTGAGTTTCTGTTTCCTAAATCCTCTCTTCCCTCCTTCCCTTTCCCTTCTTCATCTTCTCCTTACCTGTCCCTCTCTCCTTCCCTTTTCCTCACTCCGTTTCTCTTTTTTATGTTCTTCCTTGTTGCTAAAACTGCTCTGTGACATACATCACTGCCCAGGGGGCTCCCTCCCTCTGCTGAGGACCACACTTAACCAGCCCAGCCCAGAGTGCGCAGGGGCCCCTCCTAGTGCCTCCACAGAGGCCTTCTCCTCAACCCTCGGCAAGCATCTATAGCTGAGGCCTTTCTCTTTTATTCTGTTACCTCTCCACAGTGGACACTAAAAGCCTAGGCTTCTGTATGAATGAGGGAACTCTCACACACTAAATGTGCAACAGACATTCCTCAGGTATTTTGGGGTTATTTTTAATTAAAATAATAAAAATTCTCATTTTTTGAAGATCACAGGGTTTGGATTTTTTTTTATTATTATTTTTAGTAAATAATGGTCTCTAACAGTTTTTCCTTGAGTTTTTTGTTTTTTTTTTAAGATTTATTTGTTTATTTATATGAGCTCTGGGTACAGTCAGAAGTGCAGGAGGGTGAGAGGACTCACCAGAGCCAGAGCAGGGAACATAACAGGCAGACCGATGAAACACACTGCTGAGGGGAGCAGTGGGCGCGGCAGGAAAGGTCCGTGCCATGTGGGACCCTTGCCGGCAGCCAGGGGTCGAACCGGCGCCGCAGAGGCTGCAGGCAGCCTCGCAGCCCAGTGCTCAACCGCCACGCCACCAGGGGAGGCCCGAGATATTTTTATTTATCATCCACTTTGCTTAAGCACTTCAGTGTAGCACCTCCACTGAAGTGTCTGTTTCTCGACACTATAAAGCTATAGCATGTAGACAGACCCCAAAATGTGTTTAAAGTATCTAATACCTTCTAGAATACACACACAGCTGATCCTTGAACAACACAGAGGTTGGGGCATCAACCCCTGGCAAAAAGTTTTTCATCATAAAGGTCTTCATCCTCATCCTCTTCATGTTGAGTAGGCTAAGGAGGAACAGATAGAAGGGGTGTTGCAAAACCCAGTGGAAGCAGACCTGCTCAGTGCAAACTCTTTTTTGAGGGCAGCTGTACATAAAAAACACATTAACACAAAGAAGCTTAAAACCTAGATTTAGACAGTTCATTTCATATCAAAGGTATCCATATGTGTACAAGAAAATGAGTAATATCTTTTAGGTTCTGCAGTAAATTAGTAGAGATAGCAGTGGATGTAATCAGGAAATTATTTTGTTCCTAGAATTCATTTTATGTAGAAGTAGCAGTTAAAAACAATGATCCTCAAAGCTATTTTAAAAGTTACTAGATTCCTAGACTCATTATGCTATTTTAAACAATAAAAATAAACAATTATTGGGGGGAAAAGTTTATAAAAACAATGGAAAAATAAAACTGGCCCTGAAATCTAGGCCCTTAGTTAACACATATTTCCTCCCAGCCGCCCTGCCCAGGGAAAGCGCGCCAAGCACTGGGATTGGGGAGGCTGAGTGGCCCTGCCCACACTGTGCTTTGTGTCTGTGAGAGAGGGCACAGGAACGCCTCGGGTGGAGCTGCTGATCCCAGGGCAGGATACTGGTATCCACCATCTCTTTGAGTCAGATCTTACCAGTGTAAGGTCAGGCTTAGGTCTGATGTTCTAAAGTTTCTAGGACATCAGACAAATCTGAATCCATAGCTAAAGATCAAACACCTGCCAAAGTTAAAAAGTCAATATTAGAAAATAATGCCATTTATGGTCACCAACTACTGCCCCTGTTGCTAATGCAAATATCATCTGTTTGTAAAATACAGTTTACATTTGTATTTAATTTCATTGTTAGGCAGACCTGGCCCTAATTTCCAAATTGGGAATGTGGATAATAGCCCCTGCTCTACACATACACACACCCCCACACACATCCCACCCTCCTCTTGTGCAGCTTTAGAAAAATACCACCCTATCTAACTACCTACAACTTGTAAACTTGAAGAAACTAGCTAAATTAGTTTTTAACTTTTCCCTTGGGCTTGGGAATTTTCTTATGAAACTGGAGTTTAGATATATAGGGAGATTGTAAATTTGTGTATGTGGAGTCGGGATACCTGAGACTTGGTTAGTATGACTAGGGAGGCTCTAGCCTGCACTATTTATATTGCTTCTCATTCCCACTTCTTCTGTTAGTCTCGGAAAGTATAGCATTTCTAACCCAACTTCTACCCTAAGATCACCAGGCCTGGAACTGAGATAACTGACTTTGAAGATGAAGGCCCCTTAGTCCTGGGCCTGAGTCCACTTCTCCAGGGTTTTCCCTGTCCTCGTATCTGCCTTTGTATTCTCTCATCTGCCCTCTTTTTCTCTGAGCAAGAACAGCTCTCCTTTGTCAAGGCTTTGAAGAAGGGCTGGAATCTGAATACCAGAGAAGGGCAGCTCTCCTCTCTGTTCCTCCTTAGATCCCTTTCACTGGTAATAACGCATATAATTCTCTAATTATGGATACCAGAGAAGGGACAAGGGGGGTCAGAAAGAACAGGAAGGAGAGTCAAGGAAAAATAGAATTGATGAACTCTAAAAGTAATATAAATTTGAAAAATGATTGATATAATTTGGCAAGGTGGGCATATTACATGTCAGATAGATTTGTGATCCTTCTGGCTACTTTTTTAACCTGTGTGTTGCTCTTGGGAAACACCTAGTCACGATTTTCAAGCACAAGAGTCATTGTAATAGAGTGTGAGAGCCAAAAGAAATATGCATAGAAAATTTACTTCTATACCTTCCCATTTTGTTTTGATAAAAGGTTGACCCAGAAAGGTAGTGCCACTGCCTCAGCCACATGGGGTGGCAGTAGAAGAGCCTGGACTAAACCGTGTTCCCTGAGTCTCTGCCCATGCTGTTCTCCTCGTGTTTGCTCATTGCTCTGTCTTGGGGGCTGGAGGGGAATGTGAGCCCTGAGAAGTCAGTCCTAAGCAGAAAGCAGAACATCCTTCATTATATGTTTGTTTCCAGTCAAACCTGGCAACGTGAGGAACATCATCCAACACTTTGAGAACAACCAGCAGTATGACACCCCGGAACCTGGAACACAGCGACTCTCAACAGGAAGCTTCCCTGAGGACCTGCTAGAGAGTGACAGGTAGCAGGGACTGGGTGGGGCACGCAGCTCCCTTGTAGGAGAGCCCTGCAGGGTTTCATTCCAGCTGTTTCATCCCTTTCTAAGGAGACTCCAACGCACCTGCTGTAGAACTCCCCCTCCTCTGGACTCTTCCCATGGTGGTATCTTCATAAGAAGATTTTACTGTTTGTTGGTGAGGCCAGTGGAGGAGAGAGCAGCTCAGGAACCTCAGACCCAAAGTTTCCATTGGGTCCTCCTCCCCCACTATTCAGCAGCCCCCATCCCAAGAATGAGCTAGATTATACCATAAACAGTTCATCAGGAAACCCTAGGTGACAAGGCTAGAGGAAAGTACAGAGGGGAGCAAAGGGGAGTCCTGGGAAATGATGAGGCCAGGCAAACAACCATCTCTGCTAGTGAAGAAGAGAGCTGGAAATGAGATTTTTCTGGTGCTTTAAAGACAAGACATAACTGGCTACCCAATGCCCATCTCAGCCAAGAGATGCAAAAGTCATTGATTCAAGACCAAATGTTCTTCCCTTTGCAAGAAGAAAACAGGGACTTGAGGCTGTGGCATCTCTCCTGTTCTCTTTGGTCAGGTTCCAATGAGGACCCTTCTCTGGCAATAATGTTACTCTTGGACTTATTCTTGACTGTGACTTGACAGCAGTCATGTCATGTCTAAAATTCTACAGCCAACATTTAATGTGAAAAATTACCTGTAGTTGAAAATATTTTGCAAATTCTTTAAGTCACCCTTGAGGTAGTAACATGGTCTTGAGTATACAGAAAAAAATTTTATGTATACTCCAGTCTGAGAGCCACTAAGCCAAACTAACGCACAAAAGCAAGTCAGTATTAAGCAGTCCTCATCGTCCAGCCATTTCTCTGAAGGAAGTCATCATCACCCTCCAACTCAGACATCCCTGCTTTTATGCATGTACTTCTTTGTCTTTATAGTAAGCTTAATACATGTTACAAGATCTTGTCACAGTGAGAAATACAAAGATTATGTGTAAGAAGATAAAGGCTAGGATAGTACTGAGAGGTTGGGGTCTAATAACCGCTGAGTAAATGAAATACATTGATGATTGCTGGCATAGGCGTGGTCTTACAGATGTATCAGATCTAAGATTGTGAGATGCAATAACAACATTTTGAGGACATACTTGAGACTATTTGCAATCTTGAATTCTTGAACTTTCTACATAAATTTACCTTAAGTTATTTACTAGGATCCTACATCTACTCTCAGCAGAAGTCACTGGATTTAATGATTGTAAACTCACTGGTAATCTTAGAAGAAATAGTATTATCAGTATATGAGCCAGAAGTTGTCAAAGATGCTTACTTAAGCCCCCAGTTCTAGAAGGCAGTACTCTAGGAATTTGGGTCTCACTTACTGGTGGAAGCATCATTCATTTCTGGGAAATTAATGAAAGTGCTTAGCTTTGCAGCCCTAGGAACCTCACCGGATGAGGTTTCTCATGATGCTAAGTGACCCATTGCAAGCACTGGTAAAAGTTTTCCATTAGTCTGCATTGGAATTGTTCCAACAGACTTCATACATGAGTTCAGTAGGGGTTCAGCTGGCAGTGTGGTTTTTAACCCTGTGGACAAAGCCTTGGGCGCAGCAGGGGTAGAGGAGCACTCCATTTGATTCCTCTGGCGGTTCAGAGATTTGATGAGTGGAGACCAAGGCACTTGGCTCATTTAACGCAGCAACCTGCTGTGCTATTAAGAGCTCTCCAGACTCCTCAGCCTCTGTGGTCTTAAAGCAGAGCAGGATGTAGATTAGTAATAATAATGTCAGTGAAGAAGCCTCCCGCAAGCTGGAGAAAGACACCATCGTTGGGTAGCTAGAGGTCAGAGAGGCCAACTGTCTGGGGGCTGATGCGCTGCAGGACTTGAAAAGAGCACACCCAGTTGCCGCATCTCATCAAGCCCAAGTGGTCCAGCATAGCAGACCAGGGAGCAGGTCCTCCCTGTATGTAAATAGGCCCCTTAAGCTTCCTGCAGTTGGTCTGCTCTCAGGAGGGGTATGTGAGAGTTTAGTAAGGATGCTATCAAGAGAAGAATGGAAGAAATCCACATCACAGCAGGAGAGGTGGGAACCTAACAGCAGACAGGAATTTCGTTTTTTTAAAGAGGTATTATTGTTGCATGCAAGAACTGGGGTACAGGCCAGAGGTGTGGGAGGTGAGAAGGTTCACCAGAGGCAGTGGGGAACAGAACAGGCAGACCGACTGAAATACACTGCTGAGGGGAGCAGCGGGTGAAACAGGAGAGGTCTGCTGCACCATGTGGATCAGCTCCCTGGCAGGGGATGGAACTCGTTCTGTAGTGGCTGCAGATAGCTTCATAGTGCTGCGACTTAACCCCTTGTGCCACCAGGGAGGCCCCAGAGAGAATTTTCTGACAGGTGGCATGGGGCATTCTAAAATGAGTATATGAAGATAGTGCCTGCACATCCCTCTTACATCCTGTAAAGGGAGAGAGCTGCCTCCAGCAGAATCCAAGGTGGGAGGAGACCTGTTCCAAATTGGACACAGTGACCTGAGGACAGGGAGGGTGGGACCTCTAGTCCCTCCTGAGGGACTTTGGTGTCCACAACTTTCTGACTCGGGCTTGGTTCTTTAGCATCTGGCCACAAAAGTGATTCTTTTAGTCCCAGATCTCCTTTACTGGTCAGTCACAAGGAAGATGAAAGACTGTCCATCAAGCCAGGCTGAGAGGGTGGCAGAGCAGCAAACGTGAGGAGCATCTGCTAACCCATTGTCTAGGCCTTTGCTTGTGCCCTTGGGGGTGGAAAAGATGCAGCATTGAGGTGCCCTTGGAATGGGCAGCAGATCCCAAGTGTCTTGCCTTCTCCCCACCCCCTCAAGTTCTCGCTCAGAGATTCGCCTGGGCCGCTCTGAGAGTCTGAAGGGCCGGGAGGAGATGAAGCGGTCACGGAAGGCAGAGAATGTACCCCGCTCTCGCAGTGATGTCGACATGGATGCTGCTGCTGAGGCTGCCCGCCTGCACCAGTCAGCCTCATCCTCCGCCTCCAGCCTCTCTACCAGGTGGGCAGGCTTCAGGGGCTCTTGGCCCAACAATGTCTCAGGGCAGGGGCAGGGGCAGGGGCCAAACAGTGCTGAGGTGACTCTCTCCACAGGTCTCTAGAGAACCCAACTCCTCCCTTCACCCCTAAAATGAGCCGCAGGTGAGTGCTAGGTGCAATAGTGCCTGTGTTTAGTAAAGTTGCTCCTCCAATCTAACAGCTTCTCCACCCGTCTGTGGCTGTTTGGGTATGCATCTCCTTATGGCCTGCTGGTTCCCCAGGGGCTCAGTCCAAGCAGGGTGGGCCAGAGGGAGAGGGATGTGCCCTGGTGTGGGTTCTTTGAGTGAAGCTGAACTGCCCGTTTTCCCTCAGGAGCATTGAGTCCCCCAGCTTGGGTTTCTGCACAGACGCCCTCCTTCCCCACCTCCTAGAGGATGACCTGGGCCAGCTGTCTGACCTGGAGCCAGAGACAGATGCCCAGAACTGGCAGCATACAGTGGGCAAGGATGTGGTGGCCGGGCTAAGCCAGAGGGAGATTGACCGACAGGAGGTCATCAATGGTGAGAAGTGCCCCCCAAGCCTCCTCCCCCCATTTCTGCTCAGAGTCATGGGAATTGGTTCTGAGCTCTTAAGATGTAAGACGTGGACAAGACAAGACCTGTCCATGTTGTTGTTCCTATAAGGGCCCCCTCAGTTCTGGCCTTTGGGGTGACGGAAAAGTTGCTGCACAGTCTGAACCAGTCCTTAGTTCTCCCAAAAGTAAAGTAGTTTGGGAATCAGGATAGTGACCCTAGATACATGTTGACATTTTTTTCTACCCATCTCTTTTCTACCCATCCCCTTTTCTACCCATCTCTCCTCCCCTTCTCAGAGTTGTTTGTGACAGAGGCCTCCCATCTGCGCACACTCCGGGTCCTAGACCTCATTTTCTACCAGAGAATGAAGAAGGAGAACCTGATGCCCCGAGAGGAGCTGGCCCGACTCTTCCCCAACCTGCCTGAGCTCATCGAGATCCACAGTGAGGAGCCACCCACACCCTTCCTGCCCCACTCTCCACTCCTCCCATCCTTCTCCGCCAGCCTGTTTCTGTGCCAGCTTTGCCCATGTGCAGGATCCTCCTTTTTGGTCAGACAACTGATATTCACCCTGAAACCAGCTTCCCAGTTCCTCCCAAGCAGCTTCCAAGCTCTTCTCCATGGCATTGCCAAAGACCCCTTTTGGGGTCACAAAATGCTTGGTGGTGAAGCTCAGCCCCAGGTGTCTCTGTCTCTTCTTGCTCCAGATTCCTGGTGTGAAGCTATGAGGAAGCTCCGGGAGGAGGGCCCCATCATTAAAGATGTTGGTGACCTCATGCTGGCTCGGGTAAGCTTGCAGGAAGGAGGTTCCCTTAGGCCAGGCAGAGGAGGGGGGGCCATCGTTAGTGTGGATGTGACTCCTGGGCCTTGTCCATTCTGCCCTTCAGTTTGATGGCCCCGCCCGGGAGGAACTGCAGCAGATGGCAGCTCAGTTCTGCTCCTATCAGTCCATAGCCCTGGAGCTGATCAAAACCAAGCAGCGCAAGGAAAGCCGATTCCAGCTCTTCATGCAGGTGTGTCCTTGCTGCCCTTTGACCTGCCCTTGTCACCACTAAAAGTTAACCAAGTGATCATGTCTCAATAAAGTTGGTGGTCCAGGAAGTAATCATATTCACCAGGAACCTCCCAAGCTTCCCTCCTGGCCTCCTGCTTCACGCACTCTGGCCTCTTCTACCAAAGAGGATAACCAGCAACTCCCTGCACCCATTTGTACCCTCCCTACACCACATGTCAGAAACATGGGCACATACCCCCTCTCAAGACAGACCACTGTTCACTAGAAAAGGCTGGTTTGCAGTCAGAAGGCCCAGTTCATCTACTGTGTGTACTTAGATGGATCTCAGTTTCCTTATCTATAAAGTAGGCATTATACCTGCTCTATGCAGCTTGCTTGACCATATTCCCATATTCCTTCCTTGGGTTGTTGTCTCCCTGCCCCCACCAACCCTTCATGGAACATTTAAGGAAGAAGCCACCACCACCATTTGGCATGTCCACACCCATTTTGATCCTGAGGCCCTGCAGGCTGCCTGTAATCACATGTTGACATCCCTTGCAGGAGGCCGAGAGCCACCCTCAGTGCCGGCGGCTGCAGCTTCGAGACCTCATCATCTCTGAGATGCAGCGGCTCACCAAATACCCACTGCTGCTGGAGAGCATCATCAAGCACACAGCAGGTAGGGTTTGGAGAGGTGCTCGTACTGGGGACATGGGGATGCTGCAGTCCTCATTTCACACCCTGGTTCTACCACTGACTTACTGGGTGACCTTAGCCAGCCTCTTAACCTTTCTGGTCTTTAGGGTTTTCCTCCTTGTCTTATTATGGTCAGTCTCACAGAAATGAGCTTTGGAAAACAGAATATGCATGGCCACAGGAGGGGGTGAGTTCCTCTGTCTAACCTGTGGGGTCTTTGCACAAGTCAGAGGAAAGCATGTGTAGACACAGATTCAAATGCGAGGGAACTTGGCTTCTCTCACCACCGTGAACCCCACAGGGGTCACAGTTTATGGCTGGAGATCAGCCCCTGTTCAGCCACATTGCCAATGTCCAGCCCTGCTGCCAGACATCCTGAGCAATGCACAGCAGACAGAACTGCGTGTGAGAACTTTCAAGGCTAGGGACCAGGCTTAATAAGGGGGCTAGCCAGGTTGTCACTTTCCCTGGTCTCCTGAGCATCTTTTACCACCCTCGAATTTGGGATATTGGAGTCAGAGTATAATAGTGTTAGAACCCTAAAACTGATTTGAACAGGCATTGCAAGAGGCATACTTGTTGCCATCACCCACAGTCCCTTTCCCTGTCCCCCATTTGTAGAGCTGGTTGCAGTCTAGGCAAGAATCCCCAAGAGCTATCAATGTCCAGGGTAGTGGTCTAAAACCCAGGGACACTCAGTGAAAGTTAACCTCACACCTGAGGTCCTCAAGTAAGGCAAGGGCGGCCACCTCCGGGTCTGAGGCAGGTCAGCCACCATGGATATAAGTAGCCAGATCATATTGGACTCTGAACCCCACACTACCTCCTCCACCCTGTTTGGTAGGTGCCACCTCTGAGCATGAGAAGCTGTGCCGGGCCCGGGATCAGTGCCGGGAAATTCTCAAGTATGTGAATGAAGCAGTGAAACAGACAGAGAACCGGCACCGGCTGGAAGGCTACCAGAAACGCCTGGATACCACCTCCCTGGAGAGGGCCAGTAACCCCCTGGCGGCAGAGTTCAAGGTAGAGGCTCCTACATGGTCAGCACCCCCACACACATCTCAGGCACCCATAGGAGCAAGTCCTGGTTAGAGCCGGGAGAGTTCTAGAGCTGGGACACGTGGGCCACTCTGTAATAGGGGGACTTGATGGTGCCCCAGGATATACGCACCCTATTACCATGTCATCTCATCCCTCTATAGGTAAGGACAGACATTAGAACTCAGCCAGGGAGAGAGAGAGTGGGAGTTAGAGTGTGAGGTAGAAGTGAAGATCACTTGGAAGGGACTAAAGCTCACAGGATGGGCAGGTAAGACAGAGATACCTTGGGGAGGTAAATAACAGTCGGGGTGGAGGGTAGTCCAGGGATGAGACACCCTATCCAGGACCACTGGTAGAGTCCCCAGCATGGCATGTGCCTTTGTATTGCCTTTTTGTCTGTGACCCCAAAAGAAGTAAAGGCAAGGACTGTTTCTTCACCACTGAACTGATTCCCCACACCTTAGCACACTGTCTGGCACATAGTAGTTCTCGGGTATTTGTTGAATGAACAAATGATATCTCTTTAACAGAGCCTGGATCTTACAACAAGAAAGATGATCCACGAGGGACCCCTGACCTGGAGGATCAGCAAGGATAAGACTTTGGGTGTGTGCCAGGGGTTAGCTGGGGGGCTGTGTGGTAGACAGGATGGCCCCGGGTGCTTCCCTGTCTATGCCAGGGGATAGCTGGGGGCGCTCTGTGGTAGACAGGATGGCCCCAGGTGCTTCCCTCTCTATGGCGTAAGCCCTGGAACCCATGCTCTAAGGCAGAGGAATGTAGCCAGGAAGCAATGTGATACTCAACTGGAAATAGGAGCTCTACTCCTTGGGCACAGAGTGGGGACTCCCAGGGCTTCCTAGACCCTGTCATTCTCCATGTGTCGATGAGGGATGAGTGGGCAGCAGGGACCACTCATAACCACCACACCTACAGACCTCCACGTGCTGCTGCTGGAGGATCTCCTAGTGCTGCTGCAGAAACAGGATGAGAAGCTGCTGCTGAAGTGCCACAGCAAGACCACCGTGGGCTCCTCGGACAGCAAACAGACCTTCAGCCCAGTGCTCAAGCTCAATGCTGTGCTCATCCGCTCTGTGGCCACAGGTACCATAAGGAGAGGGCCTCAGGGCCACCATCACTATTAGAATGTCCAGCAAGCACTGGGTGATGCGGGGCTCACCTCAGGCCTTATAGAACTCACTGGCCACTTGTGTTCCTCTCTGCCTCTCCTGACCCTCCTAAGTGGGAGGTTGTAGGCCAAAGGGAGGGTGAAAAACTGGAGCAGAGGGAGGTGATCAGCCTCCAGGATGTGCTGGTTGGGATGGGATGTGGGAACATAGGCCAGGCCTATCTAGGCAGGAGTGGGAAGAAGGGGCAGGGAGAGGAGCAGGACAAGGGGCAGGGCTAGGTTGAAGAGCAAAGGCCCACAGTACAGAGCAGACCGACTCTGGGGGAAAAGTGGAATGTACACAGGGCTCTGGAGAAGCCAGGCAACCACTCTGTGACTCGCTCCCTTCATCTTCAAACGGGGGTGACTACCTGTCTTATCTCTTTGATCCCTTGGGGCATCAGAAGGGATAATGAGTATGGGAGTTTTAGAAACTCTAAGCACCATGTACACATCAACCCCTTAAGTCATTACATCACTCAGGGTTCCTCCTCCCCTTGGTAGAAAGGTCCCAACTAGATTTGATGATCCAGGTCTGTCTCATCCTCTCTTCATCCTTGTTGTGGGTCGGGCTTCATCCTGGCCCTGACTACAGTCATGCCTCTGCCGCTCCAGCACACACCTTTCTACCTTCCTCTGCTCACACAGATAAGCGAGCCTTCTTCATCATCTGTACCTCCGAGCTGGGTCCACCCCAAATCTATGAGCTGGTCGCATTGACGTCATCAGACAAGAACACGTGAGGATTGAGGGGTCACCTGTAACTGCCAATCCATTGCGCCCAGGGTGGTGTATGTGTGAGGACAGTGGTCAGGGAGGCCCAAATTAGGCCCCAGAGCAGTCACTGGACCAGACCCTGGGAAGGACAGAAGTAGGGAAGCTGTCGAGCTACCATCCCTGACTCTAACCAGGGCTATGAAATAAGAATGAGCTCCAGCAGTCTCACTAGCACAGTTACTGCTGCTTCGCTGTCTCTGGCCCACCCTCTTTGCCTTGGGTTCTTGTCTTTCCCCATCAGGCATTTAAAACATGTATGTTCTAAGATGCATGCCTTCAGAACCCACTCCTACCAAGTCCTCTACCCACCCCGCAGCCAGCCAGAGATGGCATGGCATGGTGGGAGGGAACAGGTTGAGTCCATTTTTTTACCTCAGGATTTTCAGCTACATAATGTGGACAATGCCTCCCTTTTAGAGTTTTTCTGAGAGAGAGAAACATTTATACAGAGCATAAGGGAGAGCTGTGTTCACTAATTGATAACTTCAAATAACTTCAAGGAGTGTCAGTCGGGGCTGTGATGGGCGGTGGGGCCCTGCCAGGCAGTGGTGATTGGACAGGGCATGTGGGTCAGTGGGTCAGTGGAGGAGAAGCTGTGTGCCTTGATCTTGTTCTCACCACCAGTCCCCTCTGTTTCTGCCGAGCAACAGATGGATGGAGCTCTTAGAAGAGGCCGTGCGGCATGCCACCAGACATCCTGGACCTACCCCGACGCCCATCCAGCACCCAGCCCAGGGCCCACCTACCCACCAGAGCCCCCGACCCAGCAGGTGCTCAGCCCTTCAGACTCCTCATTTCCCCATCCCCCCAGACCACTTGCTTTCTGCAAGCACCTCACCCCTGGAGATGGACAGCCTCAGGAGAGAAACATTAGCAGGGAATGGGGGGCATCCCCCACATCGCTGCCTCTGTCCTTGTCTGCTTCCTCCCTCGCAATTGACTGTAATGGAGGCTGTGCTGAAGTGGGGGAGGGGGCGTGACCAGCACCTACCTACTCTCCAGCTGCCAGCCAGCAGGTGATGCACCCAGCACTGGCCTCTTGGACCCTCTCCTTTATCACCCATTCTAGCTCGGCCAAGGGCCAGAATTGCCGGCAGGTGGCCTTCTCTCACCTGGTGGGTTTTTCCCCTCAGGGTAGAGTTGGATGACTCAGAAGTATTCCACAGTGAACCTGAACCCGAGGAGCTACCTGCCCGTGAGTCCCTTGAACTGTCCAGTTTCCATTGGCATAGGTAGGGAGGTGGTCAGACATGGGTGTGGGGTGATAGGACACACCCATTAGGGCCTGAGGAATGGGGTTTGATAAAGATAGAGAAGGAAAAAATGAAGAAGGGGGAGTCTTCTCGGTGAGTGTAGACTGACTCACTTGAACAGGTTCCACCCTGGTTCTTGGAGGGTCGGGAGGAGCAGTGCAGGAAGAGAGGAACAATCTAGCAGAGTCTGCAGCCCCTCCTCCCTTCAGCCCAAGTTGGTCATGGAGCATGAGCTGCACACAGACATGGGACAAGAGCCACTGGGTAGGCAAGGGAGAGCACAGGGGGTTAAGACAGTTGTTGGGATGGGATTGTGGGGTGGGAGGGTCCCAAACAGAATTCTCACTGAGTTTTTATGTGAAATAAGTTAGGGTCTCAGGTTTAGAAAGAAAATCCTCAGGCAGGGGGCTTTGTTTTATTTACTGATGTGTACCAGGAGTCGGGGGCAGCGCCTCGCCATAGTTGGTGCTCAGCACGCATTTGGGGGTTGGATCCTGTTCCTAGCCCTTTGAATCCAAAACTGTACCTGTCCCTCTTTCCCTGGCCGTACACTGTCCTCTCTTCCAAAACAGGCACTGGGCCACAGGAGAGGGCCACAGCGATGCACCCAGCACTGCTAGAGGACCCTGGGCAGGAGAGCAGTATAGGAGAAGAGCTGCATGCCCTGCCTCACCCTCCTGTGTCCCTGGATGCAGAGAACAGGGGAAGCAGGACGAGAAACCCCATCCTCTTGCCCCTCCCAGACCCGCTGTTCATGGAAGGCCTCGCTGATGCAGCCCTAGAAGACGGTGAGTGCCTCAGGGCCTGCCTCCAGCATCTAGTCCCAAGAGCATGGCCAGTGTGACTACAGACACCTCCATCCCCACGCTGCTCCAGTGTGCTCCCTGACTGTACTTCGGGGAGAGTGGCCACAGGGACAACTGTCACTCCCTACCCCCTTCCTGCACCTCTAGCCAGCTGGCCAGGGCTCTCCAGCTCCACCCTGTGACTGAATTGACCAAGTTGGGGGAGAGGCAGCAGCCAGCTCCTGCAACCCACGCTCACGTGCTGTGCAGCCCCCAACCAGACACCATTGTCCTGTCTCCCCATAGTGGAGAGCCTTCGGCACCTGATCCTCTGGAGCCTGCTGCCAGGTCAGCCCATGGAAGCACAGGCTGCCAGGGAGCCCGAGGATGACCTGACACCTACAGCTTCTGTCATCAGCATCACCTCTCACCCCTGGGACCCTGGCTCCCCAGGGCAAGCTCCCACTGTAGGTGACGGTGACAGCACCCAGCTCCCAGGAGCAGAGCAGGAGGATGTAGCTGGCTGTTCTCTGGAACACCTGCCCCCAAGGACAAGAAATTCGGGTATTTGGGAGTCTCCTGAGCTAGACAGGAAACCAGATGAAGAGGCTTCAAGCACAGAGGCAACAGGAAGTTACAAGGTTGTGAGAAAAGGTAAAATGAATTGGGGTGTTCCCTGGGGAGACAGACACCCAGCTTTGCCAGGGTAAAGGGTCTCCCAAAGAATTGCTTCCTTCCTGACATTTGTCCTGAAAACCATGTGTGCAGTGGATCCCAGGAGGACCCCAGGAGACAGTGGATAGCATACACAGGCTCAGTGGCACAGCTGAGGTTCGCACTCTGACACTTGACATTGGTGTGACCTTAAGCAAAATTCTGAATCGTCCTGCACTTCATTCTACACTGTGAGGCTATGACCTACTTCCTGGAACAAATGGACCATCAATAAAAGTTTCTGCTAGTGGTCACTGGTCTTGAGGTCCTAAGGGAGAGATGTGGCTTTTCCCAGGAGCCTGTTCCCCAAAGACAAGGACAGCTGCCAAGGCCAGTTTCTCCAGATAGCAAGGAGAGGAGCTGGCGGTGTGGGGGATGGAGCTGGGACTAGAGGTTGATCACAGATGGGGAATAAAGGAGAAGACCAGGAATACATGAGTAAGGGGGTGACCAGATGGATGTCCGGGGAGCAGCTCTACGACCAGAAGGGCCAAGACTCCTAGAATGCGGGCTCTGGCCAAAGCAGTCAGCCCAGGGGAAGGGGCGCCCGTGCAGGGAGGAGACCGCTGAAGACAGGAGGTCGAGTTGAGTGAGGCTGGAAAGTGGCCTTCCGCCCGTTGTCCCGAGGGGTCCTGCCTCCCTTTCAGCGGGCCTGCTTGTCTCCGGTTTCTGGGACCTGACCTTCCTTCTGTCTTTCGGGGAATTGGCGGACAAGGTCTCTGCAGCCCCCCGCACAGTCGTGTGTGCACTGTGCTCACTTTGTTCTTCCCTTTTTCTCCTCCCCACCCCTTCTCCTCTCTTTCATCCTCCCCCCTTCCCTTTCTGCCTTGCTTTCCCTGGTGGTGGTGGTGTCGGTGCAGCTGAAGTGGCAGGCAGCGAGGCTGTCCCTGTACTACCAGAGAGTGTCCAGTCAGGGCCTGAGCCACCTGAAGTGGAAGGCGGAGCAAAGGCCACGGGTAATTGCACTTCTCCTTGGAGCCAGAGCAGCCAGGGCTGCAGTGTACGCCAGTGGGGTTCAGACTCGTTCCTGCAGTCACATATACCCGCCCCCCCCATGCACCCTCCCTCAGCTGTGTGCAAGCAGGTGAGGACAGGGCCACAAGCAGGGGACCGAGCCCATGCCACCCACTGTGGGGAACTTCATAGCCCTTTAGTGCAGCAGGTTAGGCAGCCTGTGCTCAGCCCTGAGATGGGACAGGAAGCCTGGCTACCACTTCACCCACCCCAGCCACGTCTCCAATGTCATCGTGGAAATTGGCTTACATAGCCTGTCAGGTCCCCCACCCAGGGCCCTTGGGATTGCCCTGTACTTACTGCCCTGTCAGGGGCTCTCTACTGTCTCTGACACCCCTCCTTTACCCCGACTCCCCTACCCCGCCAGGAACTAAGGTTATTTCCCCAAATGAAACAATGCACCCTGGCCACTCTCCCTCAACTTCCACCACCAAACATCTTCCCTGGTGTGGGCCAAGCTGAGCAAAACTGCCATCTAGGAAGGCGTTCTGGAGGAGGAGGGCTTTAGGAGACCATTGAACAGAGTGGGGCCCAGATGCACTGGGATGTCTGCAGCCCTGTCAGTCAGCATGGGAATAGCAACAGAGCAGAAGTGGCTTAGATGCCTCCATTTGCTTCCTAATCCTCTTTCTCTCCCATGGGGCAGGGAACTGTTTTTATGTCAGCATGCCAGCAGGACCCCTGGATTCAAGCACTGACCCCTCAGGGGCACCCATAAGCCCCTCCCAGCCCATCAGCCTGCCTGCGTGGCAGACAGAACCTCAGTGCCAGCAGCAGCAGGGCAGCCATGAGGATCAAAGGCGTCCCACCCGCTCTCCCCCGAGTCTGGCCCTCAGGGACGTGGGCCTGATCTTCAGCACCATTGAGCAGCTCACTGTCAAACTCAACAGGCTCAAGGTAAGGAAACAGTGCTTGGACCTTGGAGGGTTTGAGTTCATCCCCCAAAACAGTCATCCCCATGAGTGAGTTGTGTATCTCCAAGGGACCCCCAGATCCTGGCCTGGGACTCTTCCCTCATCCTACCCAGTGTCCCTCCAGCACAGCCCTGTGCCCAGGGCCCAGCTGGAGGAAGATTGTGGCCCCTTTCTCAGGGGCCTAGGAACAGGACTTAGAGCAGATACACCTCTGCAATCCTTTCAGGACATGGAGCTGGCCCACAGAGAGCTGCTGTGCTCCATTGGGGGAGAGTCATCTGGTGGCACCACACCTGTGGATAGTTTTCACACAGAGGCCACCAGATGGACGGACAGCTTCCTGTCACCTCCAGCCAAGGAGCCCCTGGTTGCTGACTCCAGGGACAGCCACGAACTAGGGCCTTGCCCTGAGGATGGTAAGTGAAGCCGGCTCCTTTGTCCCCCAACTGGGGAGGGCTCCAACTGGCAAGGAGGGATGGGGGGGTCCCAAAATGGGCCTCACTGTCACCCCTCCACACACTCCACAGGCACTGACACCCTCCTGGAAGACAGCACACCTGATGCGACCACGTCCCCAGGACTGTAACTGTTGAATCCACCAATCCTCTGTTTCCCTACTCCTCTCGGGACTGGCCTGAGGCAAGGGCACGGGTGAGGAGCCCCGACATCCTCTCCCTGGTAGAGGCAGTTGAAGAGACTGGGATCCAGCCGAGACCCTCCGCATGTTGCTTGGTCTGCCCAGATCGGAGCTTTCAGTGTCTTTCCCTCCCCTCAGCCCACCCCTGCAAGGCCCTGCGTCTCCTAAGCATGCTGATTGCGTCTGAGCCCTCGTCCCACATAGGTGTGTCCACCTGTATGTGTGGGTGCCCTCAGACATGCAAGGGGAAAAAGGCTTCAAGTAAATGCACTTTTCTCTCTCCCCCCACAGGACCCCAAGGCTGAGGTGGGGTGCCTCCACCTCTCCTGTCACTTTGGTTTCCTATAAATATGTATGTATTGTATGTGCATCTTTGCTGTTGTAAATAACTGACCTTTTTTTCTGTTCCTGGGGTGCTGGAGACGGTTACAGAAGGGATCACTGTGGAAAAGGTTTGCTTTTATCTCCTAGTTAACAGCCCAGCTCCCCTGTGGGTAGGAAGGTCTCCTGGCTTCCCACTGACCTAGCCCCAGAGCCTGCTTGGTGCCGTGCTAATCCCTCCCTTTTTGCTCCCTACTTCCAGGAATTCCCATCTTCAAGGGAATTTCTCTCACCCACCCCTACAACCATGTCTACCCTCCCCACCCTCTGTATGAAAAAAACAGTATATCAGGTACGGAGCTGAAAACTGGGCCCCAGGAGGTGGGGGAGGGGGTTGAATGCTGGAGTCCCTGAATTAACCCAGGACCATCCCCAGGGGCCACCACAACATTGGCCCCGACTACCATGTCCACTCCTCTCCCCACTGACGACTAGAATATACACACTGTGCTAGGTGTATATATACATATATATATATAAATATATATATAATATATAAAATATAGATATGGAAATGACTGTTTTGCTGTTAAAATAATGTATACTCTTATTTTCTTCCTTTCATGGTTAAGATTTTTTTTTTTTAAGAAAAGTTAAATATTCTTTAATTGTGGTGGTGTGTGTGTGATTCTTGGAACTGCTGTGATAGAAGACAGGCTGGCTAGAACTGGCGGGAGGGAACAGAAGGAAGCCCCCACAGCCCAGCATCAGGCCCCCAGGACCTAGTCGTCTTGTCTTTCTCCCACAGCTCCAGGTGGAGCCCACTGGGTTGCACGTAAGCAAACTAAGTTAAACAACCCCACGGCCAAAATACAAAAGGACGCCAAACGCACTCACACACATCTGTCTATAGATGCACCAGACTCCAGAGACCTCATGAGCTGCCTCCATTGAGCTTCAGAACTTTAAAGGCAAAAACAGGGGAGGCTCATCCGCCAGACCTGGCCCGCTCCTCACTGTCCTCAGCCCGCACGTCCTTCGTCAGGTTGATACCTGCTGCAAGCCATAGGCAGGCACAGCCTTAACAGTCCACTCCTTAAGTGTGCGTAATGCTGGGTGCTGACTCCCCGAGCCTCCAGTGTCATCTGGCTTCAGAATTAACACACAGGTTTTTGGTGATAAAGGATCATATCAGACAGGCCTGTAGGGGTTCATGGGAGCTTTAGAAGGATTCAGGTGGGGTCACTGGTCACCGCCAAGCATCTGTCACATGCTCATGACTGGGAGTGCAAAGAGTGAGTCTCTTTCTCTGCAGTGTTTCTGCTGCCAGCAGAGGAAATGCTGAGCAGCAGCCATGCAGAGGCCAAGAGGGGCCCGTGAGGGAACTGAGCCTCTCAGAGGAGTTCTGGGCATAGATAGCGGGTCTCTGTTGAGCCAACAGATTTCAGGGACACGAATCAGGTCTCACCTGCCCAGAGATGAGGAAAGCTTCCCCTGGAAGCTCCCTGCAGAGTGGGTGGCAGCTTTGCTGAAGCCAGACCTGTGCTCGCTGGCCACTGTCAGTTAAGTTAATGGAGGTCTGGCTCATGGGCAAAGGGGTGGGGCCCCCAGCTCTCCCAATCCTCTGGCCCCACACTGAGTGCCCCTGGTTTCAGGCAGTGTCAGTGGCGTTCATGTTCAGTGCTTGGCCTTTGCTACCTACATGCTGAATCAGCGCACACTCCAGAGTAACCTGCCAACTGCATTTTCTTAAGCTGAGCCCTTGCCTCTCCTCCAAACCAATCAACAGGGCCAGACAGAAATGGGGCAGGGGGAGGGGGAAGGAAGGGAGGATGGTTCTGGAATGGGGAAGCCCAAGTTCAATCCCTCCACCAGGCCCACCCTGACTCCCTCTCCCACTTGGCTTGTACATAGCAGTTACTCACCCCAAGTCTCCCTTTTGCCTCTGAGACGCAAGGCTGGGTGCAAACCCTGGCCTAGCTAGTGTCCCCTAGGGAGCACAGGGAGAGTGCTTCTAGCCTGAGCGAGCAAGAACCAGACCTTAGGATGCAGGGGAGCAGTATCCCTGGCTGGCCAACACCAGAGGGACCCAGGTCACCCCCAACAGAACCTCATCCAGTCGTTTTGGGAGATGTATCATGAGCAGACTCAGAATCCAAATGGTCCGAGTCATTCTGAAAGAAAGTTTTCAGACAACCTCAAGGGAAAAGATACAGCCTTTGTTAAGGATCTGAGATCTCCCCCAGGGAGGTTGGCCCTCATGGGCAGGACAGACTTCTGTGGCCCAAAGTCTCTGAGAAGAGGTGGGAGGAGCTAGGTGGAGAAAGTCGTAACTTCCTCTTCCCTGGGCTTGGCCTTACTGATGGGGTCCCTGGGCAGCATCAGCTCCTGGATCTTGGTGTACACGGGACACTGCAGGGAGAAGCTATTTTTCTGAAGGAGGGGAAGGAAGGCTGACAGTTGGCAAAAGGAAGATTAGTCCTTTGGCAGAGAAAAGTGTCCTGGGACAGCTGGATTAGGGGCCAGGAGACGGAGGACAGGTGAAATATAACTGCTGGTCTTGCGACAAGAAGGGTAGAGGTGGCGGGACACAAAGAACTAGGGAAACTGTAGACCTGCCTTGGCAGTGGGGAGAACTCTGCCTGCAGCCCTTGCAAGAAAGCGAGGAACTCACCTCCAGGGACAGACACAGCAGCCCCACGGGGCCCTTGGACGGGCTCTTGACCTTGGCGAACTGTGCCTGGTACTGTACCGCTGTGAGGAAACCTTCCAGCCCCACCTCTGTGATGTGGTTTCCTGGTAGAAGGTGCAGAGGTGGCCTCTAAACCTCCGCCAGTCACCCTTCACTGTCCTAACACAACAAGGAACCCCTTGCTTCCCACGGCTCCCCTGTCCCCGCTCAGAGGCCTGGCCCTGCCCTGCACCCCAATTCTCCTTGACTTCTCTGACTTCCTTCAGCCCACCTGTTCTCACACCCCCATTTATCTAATACCTTCGTTACTCCAATTGCCCTGTGCAAGCTCTGACACCCCCCCCCCACGCCCCTCACCCCAAAGCCTGTTATAGGAGGGCCTACGACACTGATGCCCAAGCACAGGAGCATCAGGTACTGTGCTTTAGAAGCAGGGGGCCTCCTCGAGACAGCATGGGGCCCAGGTTGCCCTGTGGCAGGAAGGGGGCTGGCAGACATACGGAGGAGGTTGAGATGCAGAAGGACCTTGTTCCCAGGCATGAACACTTTCCCATCTCGGTGCTCCACAGGCTCCAGGAGAGGGTTGACCATCTCGGTAGCTTCAGCAACCACCTACTAAAGCAAAATACTAAATGCAGCAGAGGAGAGGGGAGCTGGCCAAGGGGCCACGCTTGTGTGTTCAACATACATGTTTTGAGGGCTGGCTCTTGTCCAGACTTCTTTGCAGCTGCTGGGGATACAAAGATAAATAAACCCAAACCCAAAGAAGCAACTTTGTGGGGGGAAGCCAGAAAGGGAGCTGGTAACGTGGCCTGGGGTGACAGCAGGAAGGGAGCTGCCAGGGCTGTGGTGGCACAAAGGAGGGACTTCTAGCCCTGCATTGTCGGGAGCCAGGACAGTCTCTTGGGGGAGGTGGCCTGTAAGTGGAAGTTGGATGGTATGTGGCTGTTACCCCATGAAGTTGGGTGAGAAGGTGTCCAGGCAAAAAAAAAAAAAAAAACAGAAGGTGCCAAGGCTTTGGGGGCATGAAACAGTATGTTGCGTTGTATTGTACTAGATGCTTCCCAACAGCGAGAGCAGTGAGGGCAACTGGTTGGCGGAAGATGAGGCTGAAGGCAGCTGTGTTCTAGCATCCTGGTGAGAAGCAGCAGCCTGGATCAAGCCCGGGCAGGGACAAGTCACCAAGAAGGAAAGGCAGCCCCCAATCCCTTTCTCCACCCTTTTGTAAGATCTTATCTGGGGTGCCAGAGAAGACTCCCAAAAGGGGAGGGGGGGCACTCCCTGTCTAGAGCAGGGATGCTCCTGAGGGCCGAGACAGAACAGAAGGCAGTAGGCCCTCAGGCAGCTGAGGCCAACAGCAAAGCCAGAGGGCTGGAGAGGCTGGGAGCAAGAGCCCGGAGAGGTTTCACACAAGACACAAGTTGGTCCAACTTGAAAGGGAAAAGGGAGGTTCCAGGGGGAAAGGAGAAGGAGGGGTGCTCAGGGCAAGGGTGGGGCCATAACCAGACTGTGACCACACCCTGCCTTCCTGGGGCCCTGCCCTGGGCAAAGGGGAATGTGCTTTGTTCCCAGTGTGGCTGGGCAAACAAGTAAGGGGGTGGTGAGGAAACCTGATGGAAGTAGGCTGAGTGAGACAGTGAGTCAAGCGAGGGGGCCTCCACCAGCCTGAAAGGGAAGGGCGTGCACTGGGCTCTCACCCCCCAGTAAGCCCATGTTGGGAAATCCCGGGTGGGAGTTAGGTGTGGTTCTGCAGGAGTGGAGGACTAAGTGTGAACTGAAGTGGCTGCAGTGACCACTGCCACAGTGCTTTGCAGGAGGCTGGAGGATCCCCCACTTCTCTCGTCCTACCTCCGACTCCGTGAGGATGCTGCGCTTCTCTCTGGTCCCGGTCTTGGGCCCTTTGCCCTTACTTGGTTTCTGCTCGGGGATGGTGACCTCTGCCGCAGGAAGAGGAGGCAGAACACACGGTGCAGGCCTGACACCTCCTCCCCTCCCCAGCTTGCCAGAGAGAAGTGGCCTAGGGGTTCTAGGCCGCTCCTCACCGATAGAGACAGCTCCTGAGTCCCTTTCTCCAGCAGGAGGCGCAGGCAGGGAAGGAGACCCCTCCAACTCAAAGACAGAGCTGCAGGGGTCCCAGCAAAGTGAGGGTCCAGCCCAGGGAAACAAGGAGTGGAGTTTAAGGGATGAGGGTGGGAGCTGGGTGGGGCTTTCCACATCATCTCTGGAGAGAAGGAAACAAGCCCCAGAGGGGCCACAAGAAGAGCAGCTCCTGCAGAAAGCACACCTCCATTCCCTTGCATTCTCCCTGCTTCCCGCCGGAAGGAGCGCGTGCACTCTCCCTCGCTGGCACTTACTCCCCCTGCTTGTCTTTGAGGAGTCTTCTTTCTTAGGGGCTCCCTGTGTGGGTGACTGCCCAGACCCTGACTTCTCCTCTCTCTTCATCACATCCTATGAGAGAGATGAAGAGCCTCCTGGAGGCTGTGGAGCAGGTGTGGGAGGAGCCGGGTAAGGACCTGAGCCCGAGGTGGGCCTTCCCTCCAACCCCATGGGTGCACCACAGACGCACCCTCTCCTGTTCTCACCAGAGGCTCTCCTGCCCACAGCGCACCTACCCCAGCCTTCTCCTTTTTCTTGCCCAGGCCCTTAGGAGTCTTCACTGACTGTGTCTTGTCTGTCTTTTCCACTGCTGTGACAGTGCTAATCCCCATCAGTTGAATTTTGTCACGGTCTGTTTTGGAGTCTCCGTGTCGAGAGGAGGAAGGCTGTGCTCACAAAAGGGGAAGGGGGATGGAGAACCCCTTTCTCAGTGAGGGGTGAGGGGAAGGCTGGAGAGAAATGACAGACACCCCTGGGGATGAGATGGGGGTGGCGCCTGAGGATGAGCTGGGGGCGGAGGCCCTACTCTCCCATGGAAGTGAACTAAGTGCCGGGCCGTTTCAACTGCACTGCATGAATTAACTTCTTCCTCTCAACAATCCTATGAGGCCGGTACAATTATCCCCACTTCACAGGCGAGGAAACCGAGATCTGAGAATTTAAGGAACACGTCTGAGGTCACAAGCTGGTATGTGGATAAGCCGGATTTCAAGTCTAAATCTTGTCGTTTGTCTTAACCAACTCTACCGCCAGGCGTGGTTCTGCAGTGACAGCCCGGGCCTCTGCGAGATCTGTGCACTAGTCAAAGAGAAAGACCACCGCGAGGGAGAGAGGGCAGCTTAGGACACCTCCAGCGTGGGGTCAGGGAGCCGACCTGGGGGTAGCCTAGGGGTTCCAGGCCGCTCCTCACCGATCGCGACCGCTCCTGCGTCCCTTTCTCCAGCAGGAGGCGCCTGCGCTCCACTACCTCGGTGTGCGTCAGCTCGAAGGGGCGCAGGACCTGGGGCGACGTGGCACCTCGGATCAGAGGCTTCGGGCGCCGGTCCACTTAGCGGCCCCCGCCCAGCGCGCACACCCACCTCAGCCAGCTTCAAGGCGCCCGTGTCGCGGATGCGGTTGTGGGCCAGGGACAGCCAGAGCAGGGAGCGGTTCAACCGGAGACCCTGGGGAGCAGCGGGCAGCCCTTGAGCTGGGACGGGCCCCTCCGCTCCGCCCCAACTCTGGCGGGTCTCGCAAGCACGCACGTCTGCTATGTAGCCGGCGCCCTCGTCCCCGATGTGATTGAAGCCCAGGTTGAGCGAGACAAGGGTCCGGTTGCAGCTCCGCAGCGTGGACAGAGCCTGGCCTAGGAGCTGTGCGCCGTGGTCATCGATGTCGTTGTTTCGCAGGGACAAGTGCACGATCCTGGACAAAGAGCCGGAGATCCAGGGACACTGGAAACAGGGGTCTCGGGCGATGGCCACAGTGTCAGAGAATGTGGCAGCATGAGGCGGGCCATATGATTTGAGGGTGGAGGGGTGGGAGTTGGGGGTCCTTGGGGAGATTCTAGAGAGACAAGGGCGGGTTAGGGGCTAGGGGGACCTTGAGGACCCGCCAGAGAAACAGGGTAAGGGAAGGGAACCTCACGTGCTGTCCTGTGCCATGAGCTTGTGGTATGACTGCTCCGGCAGAGGGTTCCCCTCCAGAGATACCTTCCTGGGGGAGGGAAGATCTGAGAACCAGGAAGCACCGCTGATGCCAGGGAGAAAAGGGGACTGAGAGGTAGTGGGAGGCTCTGGGGAGCAGCCTGGAAACAGTCAAAGGATGGTCCCCCATGTAGGAAATTTTATACAACAGTTCCCCAAACCCAAACTGCTGAAGTGTGGCCATGTGAAAGGGTCACTCCTCAGTGACCTGTGGTAAGGTGACCTCTAAGATGAACCCCACTTTGTGCTATCTATGCCTTGTGTAATCCGCTCCCCCTTGAGTGTGGTAGACCTAGTGACTCACTTCTAATGAATTAAGCAAAGTGATGGGATGTCACTTCCACATTTAGGCTACAAAAAGACTGGGCTTCTGTGCCGGGTGCCCGCTGGTGCTCTCTGGGAATGCCAGCAGTGTTAGTGAGGGCATTCAGACTGCTTGCCCAGGCTCGGGAGGCACTGTCTCGCCACCTGCTCCCAGCCCCCCATCAATACCACATAAGAGAGTCTGGAAGCAACAGCTCCAGCCCTAATAGGACTGCAGTTCCCCAACAGCTGGAGAAAACCCACTACCTGACACCTGGGTTTATCTCCCAGCAACTGAGACAACAAATGCTCGCAGTTTTAAGCCACATTTTGAGATACCTGTTACATGGCAATAGGTAACACACGCATATGGCGCCTCCACAAGGCTGTGGCTTCTCTACCAGTGCTAAGAGAATGGAGGTCCTTTTCCAAGTCATAACAAAAATTGAACTAGCAAGGGCCTCCCTGGTGGTTCAAGGGGTTAAGATGCAACCTATGAAGCTGTCCAAAGCCTCTGCAGCACGAGTTCGATCCCCGGCCAGGGAGCTACCCACATGGCGCAGCAGGAGACGGCGCAGCAGACCTCTCCTGTCTCACCCGCTGCTCCCCTCAGCAGTGTACTTCAGTCCATCTGCTTGTTCTGTTCCCCACTCTGTCTCTGGTGACTCCTCTCACCCCCACACCTCTGGCCTGTACCCCAGCTCTCGTATGCATAAATAAATAAATCTTAAAAAAAAAAACTGAACTAGCAATATCTCTATTTAGACGTTTTCTCCCATTATGTTGGCTCATCTTTCCGCTAAAGCATTCATTTTTGATCAGCTCCATTATGTTACCTTGACATATTTTTACGTATTCAGACAAATTCTAAAGTTATTTTCTGCCTGCTAAAGTGTTTCTAGTTCTCATGATGGCATATGTTCCTCTGTGTTTTATAGAGTGCTGTGAGCCTCCAGTTGAAGCATTCACAGTCTCCCTCTCAGAACCTTCCAGGTCCTGTGTGTTCTGTGAAGCAGAAGTCAAGGGCTCTGGAAGGGCTGCCGAATCAACTTCGCTCTTTATACTGTAAAACACACCTGCAGCTGCACTACTTGACACCTTGCCCTGTTCCCTCTGAATCAAGAACGCCCTTTCCCAACTCCCTGCCTGGCAGCCTCGTCATCCTCCTTCAAGGTTCAACTCAGCACCACCTCCTCCAGGCAGCCACCCACGCCTCCCTGCTTCACACAGTGAGGTGGGGGAGCACTCTTCCAGGGTCCTTTGGTTCCAAAACTGCTCCCCTCTGCCACCCACCCAACAGACTTCCCAGGCACTGTCTCCCGGTGCCTTGTCCCCTCTGCTGACCTGAGCGTGGACGAACAGAGAGGCAGCAGGGCAATGAAGGTGGCCAGGGTCTTATCCGTCAGCCCCACCTTCCACAGGCTGGAATTGGTAAGGACAGAAACAGCTGAAGCTCCTCCCTCACCAGCCATCCTGACATCCCAGCCGCACCCTCCCTCAGCCCCCCACCTCCCCTGCAGGACCCCCTCCAGTTCTTCCTCCCACTCCAACGGAGCCTTGCCCCGCAGTTGACCTCCAGCCCTCCCACTCCCCTTCCCTCACTAGATGGCCTGCAGCTGGCTGAGGGCGGGCAGGCATTTCGAGAAGATGCCCAGGATCCGCTGCTCCAGTTTCCAGCCTGCGCGAGAGGAGGAAGGGCCTCAGGTCCCAGGAGCGGGGCGGCGCGCGGACAGCTGGGCCGCGGAGGGGGGCGCACCGCGAATGTAGATTTCCTTCACCGACTTGTCGTCCACGTCCTGCTCCACCTGGATGGTGGGCCGGAAGAACACGTATTTGCTCTCCAGGCTGTTGATGCTGCAGGACGCCGACAAGCGCTGGTCCTCTGCAAGGCAGGGTTTAAGGGGCGGGGTGAGGGGGCCAGACCACCGCTCCGGGACCCACGCGGGCCGGCCCAGCGGGTGCACGGAGGCCGGGACGGGTCCCCCCCGCAGCCCTGTCCCCAGCGCCCTCCCCCCGGGGTGGGCCTGGAGTACTGCTCCGCGGGTGCGGGCGCTATTCTCGGGCCAGACCCGGCTCTGCTAGGGTTTGGAAAGGAAGACGGGGCCTCTCCCCGGCCCCGCCACCGCGAGCCCCGGCCAGTAGCGCTCCGCGCCCCGGGATCCTGGGCCGGACGGGCGGCCTGGCAGGCACCCGGGGCTCCGCTGTCACGCACCTGGGGTGGGCTTTTCCGACAGCGAGGCGGAGGGGAAGAAGCTCGGGTGCGGGCGGGGCCGGGGGACCACTCTGGGGAAGTCCGTGTAGCCAGAGCGCGCGCAGAGCTCGGCGAAGTCGGCCTCCAGGGCGCCGGTGCACTGGTACTCCTCTGCGGAGGCGGGAGCGTGAGCGCCCCCCACCCCCGCCCCGCGCCGCCCCGCGCCGCCCCCGGGGTCCGGCCCGCGCCGCGCGCCCCGCGCCGCCTTCCACGCCCTCGGGGCGGCGCGGGGGGGTCTCCAGGCAAGCCACGCGCCCGCGTCAGCCGCTGAGAGCTTTGCAGGCATTCTTGCCATGTAAGTTGCGTGCTAAAGACCGACTTTGCAAACACTTGAGAGGAAATCGTGAGAAATCAAGAACTCGGGGAAAGGGGGTGGAAGGGCACGGAAGGCCGACAACGGGGCGCTCCACCTGCCTCCACCTGCCTCTCCGCGCCCTGGGGATCTCCGCCTCCCACAAGGCGTCGCCAGCCAAGCCTCTTCTTCCTTTTCCTGCTGGCACTGCCAGGCCTGTTGTGTGCAAAAGGAGCCCAGGGGTCCCTCTCTGCCCCCACCCCCACCCAGCACACGTACACTGGGCTCCAGCAGAGGGCAGGCGTCTATGTAGCTAGCAAACAGCTGCACAGCCACTAGTGCGGTCGTTGCTACAGTGCTTTAGAAATATTAAAGGGGGAGGAGCAATAATTAAAAGGGTATAAGGTTGGTGGGGGGAATTTAAAAACTAGGAAAAAATAAATTTTAAAAATGTAAAAGCAAATCTATATATACATATGTGTGTATGTATTGATATGTGTTATATGAATACGGATGTGCATCAGCACATCCCAGGCAGAGGCCTCTGCAAACCTGAGCTGTCTGAGTCCCCAGGGACACCTGCTCCTTCCAGTTTCCCACTGGCCTGCCAAAAAGAAGCAGTTCCTGGAGATGAGTTGTCCCTGCTATGTGGGAGAACCAGTGGAGGGGGTACCATTTCCCCGTCCCCCACCCCATTTACATGCAGAGGTCTTGTTAGCTACTGCGAACTAACTAGGGGAGGAGCTCAGGGGCTTGGTGAAGCAATATAACACAGAAGGCAGGCGGGCTTAAGGGGAGCCTCTTTCTTCTCTGGCATGGATTTACATCCAGGGACTGGTGGGGACGTGGAGGAGATGCATGGAGGAGAGACATGTAGACACTTGGAAGAGATGTGGGTGAGAGACAAATGGGGAGGCTGACAATGACAGTCATTGTCTTGATGTGGTATCTCCTTCTGTCCCGGCTTTCTAGGCCCTACCTTATCCTTCTCTTGCTGTTCATCACCAGAAGGTACTTAGACTTGTGGCCAGCTTTCGGGCTGACCCTGTTTGGCTGGGCATTTAGCCATGAGGAAATGTATAATTTTGCATGTTGTACTGGGAAACTTTTATTAGATATATCTTATCTTAGGGCCTCCCTGGGGGCGCAAGGGGTTAAGTCTCAGTACTCTGAAGTTATGGCAGCTACTGTACCACGAGTTTGCTCCCCAGGCAGGGGGCTACCCACATGGCACAGCAGATCTCTCCTGATTCACCCGCTGCTCCCCTCAGCAACGTATTTCAGTCAACCTGCCTGTTCTGTTCCCCACTGTGTCTGGTGAATCCTCTTACCCCTATACCTCTGGCCTGCATAAATAAATAAATATCTTTTCTTCTCCTTTCCTCTTCTCCTCTATACACACTAATTATGTTAAGAATACATATTTGTATTCTTAATATTTAATTATGTTAAGAATAATATAGTTTTAATTTTGTGCACATTGATGGCCTTTAGAGCATGCAAGATTGGGGGTTGTGCACTAACACCCACAGCAAGAGAGTCGAGGCCCTGGGGACCAGGTGTGTGGGGGCTGTGCCCACAGAAAACTGCAGGCAAGCAGCAGGGAGCCTGCCCAGTGGGTGTGGAGGGGCTGAGGGGCCAAGGGGATGGTGCTCCGCAGGCATGGGGACAAGACAGATATTGGAGGTCTCTTGAGCCCAGCCTTCAGGGGAACATAGGCACAAGACACATTAGCTGAATGGACAGGGTGGATGAGAGGTGGTGCAGGGAGGCAGGGTAAGACCATCTCTCCTGCACACTGCCTGCTTTCCTGGGCTGTCCCTCTTCTGGGAGATGCCTCAACCCTTCCTTGCTTCACTCACACCAGCTTTCTCTATAACAGAGATTCTCCTTCTTTAACATCCATCTGTAAAAAATGACCAAGAAAACCTGTTAAAACTGTTTTTGAGGGGGCCTCCCTGGTGGCCTAGGGGTGAAGTCTCAGTGATAATTACCACTGCAGCACGAGTTCGATCCCCGCCAGGGAGCTGGCCCACATGGCGCAGCAGACCTCTCCTGTCTTGCCCGCTGCTCCCCTCAGCAGTGTATTTCAGTAGATCCACCTGTTCTGTCCCCACTCTGTCTCTGGTGAATCCTCTCAGCACCCCCTACACCTCTGGCCTGCACCCTCCGTTCTATGCAAAAATCCATCCCCAGAGATTCTGGTTCCATAGCTGAGTGGAGTCCATGAATTTGCATTTCTACAAACTCCTGGTGATGCCAAAGCTGCTGGTCCAAGGACATCACTCTGAGAAGCACTGCCTAATAGAACACAAGGACAGAAATGTTCTGCAGCACGGAGTTACATAGTGAACAGTGAGGCTCTACAACGGGCTTGCTCCTGCTGGCCTCCCTTCCCACATTCCTTCCCCACACGCACAACTGGCCTTGCCACTAGAGAAATAGAAGCCATCAGATGGGGTTTCCTATAAATCTAGAACCCTCCCTACATCTTCCTTCACTCTCTACCTCATTTGAGCCCCTATTCTGTCCCTGCCATGCTACACATGGCACCCGCCAAAGCTTCTGTGCCCTCCGTGGTGCCTGCCCAGGATCTCGGCAGGGGTCTCCCATTCTCCTACCTCCCTGCCCCTGGCTGACCAGGATCCCCTGCTGGCTCCTCCTGGCTCCTCTGTGACCTATAAGTCTGGTGGGTTCTGACCCTTCTCCTCTTTCTAGAACTTAGGAACCCCTTCCTCCCTCCCTCCCGAAGGGAACTCTCTTCATTTCCAAGGGTTAAATAACCACATCAACAGCTCCCAACACTCACGTCTCTCTTCCCAACCTCTACACAGCACTCCAAATCTGCGTGTCTCTCTGCCCAGCTGGCATCCCCGTCCTGGCGGTCCTCTCTTACATGGTCTTCCTTTGGGCTTTCCAGTCGCCATGAATGGCACCTCCATCCAGCCAGCACCCAGTCCAGAAATCTGGGAATCATTCTTGCTATGTCCTTCACTCCCCCCCCCATGCAATATTTTGCCAATTCTTACTTCTACCTCCAAAGCATCTCTGCAAGGAGCCTAATACATCTACCCCAACAATCCTATCCCAACTACCATCGTCCCTCACCTGGGCTGTTGAAATAGCCTTGTAATCTCCTGGTCTACAGCCTTCCACTCCCTTTTATAGACAGCAGCCAGAGTAGTGTGTGTGGTATGTGTGCTTAATATAACTAGATTCATATCTGTAGTAGATTCTATACTGTTTTTTTTAAGATTCTTTTATTTATTTATACAAGCACTGGGTACAATCAGAAGCACGGGAGGGTGAGAGAATTCACCAGAACCAGAGCAGGGAACAGAACAGGCAGACTGACAAAATACACTGCTGAGGGGAGCAGTGGGCATGGCAGGAGAGGTCTGTTGTGCCATGTGGGACCCTCGCTGGTGGCCAGGGATTGAACCAGCCCTGCAGAGGCTGCGTGTAGCTTCGCAGCCCAGTGCTCAACCGCTATGCCACCAGGGGAGGCCCTGTTGTTTTCTTAAAAAAGAGATTTATGCATAGAAGAACTGAGGTATAGGCCAGAGGTGGAGAGGAGGGAGTGAAAGGATTCACCAGAGACAGAGTGGGCAGCAGAGCAGGTGGAGCTACTGAGAGACACTGCTGAGGGGAGCAGCAGGTGAGACAGGAGAGGTCGGCTGCGCCATATGGGTCAGTTCCCTGGCCAGGGACTAAACTTAAGCCGCAGCAGTGACAGTGACAGCGCTGAGATTTAACCCCTAGGTCACCAGAGACACTATTCTATACTGTCTTATCTCTCCTTCTGGAAAATACTCTCTTCAACTCTCATAGTTCTCTCCCCCTAGCCACCAGCACTGACAAGGAGATGGTACCTGACAATCAGAGCCTTTCCCAAGTTTTTTTGACTGTGAGTCCAAGGAGAGCAAGTTTTTGTCTCTCTCTGATGGCAAAGCTGGTGAAGTTGATTGGTTTTTTTTTAAAGATTTATTTATTTATGCATACAAGAACCGGAGTATAGGCCAGAGGTGTGGGAGGTGAGAGGATTCACCAGAGACAGAGTGGGGAGCAGAACAGGCAGATGTACTGAAATACACTGCTGAGGGGAGCAGTGGGTGAGTCAGGAGAGGTCTGCTGTGCCAGATGGGTAGCTCCCTGGCCAGCTGGGGGATCAAACTTGTGCTACAGAGGCTGCAGACAGCTTCACAGTGCTGCGCTTAACCCCTTGTGCCACCAGGGAGGCCCAAAGCTGGTGAATTTGAATCAAGAAGTCTTTCAATAAATTCCCCTGTGGGGATAATTAGTTGGGATTCTATCACTTGCAATAAAAGAACTACACTCCAACTTATACTCTTCCTAGAGAAGATAAATTCCATGCAGGCAGGAATGTGTCCATCTCATTCTCTCTGTGTTTGCACTTGGCCATAGACCAGGCATCCAAAAATTAACTGTTGAATAAATGAATGAATAGCTATAAAACTCAACTCAAAGACACCTCCTTGGAGGCCCCTGTGACCTCCCATCACATCCTGGGCCTTCTCTCATAAATCTTACTGCATCGCGTTGTATTTATCGCAACGTTTGGGGTTCCCGAAGATCAACTTCAATTCAAACATCTGCCAAACTGAGATTCGGGAGCTGCGCTGGCAGTAAAACTGTGAATCCATATCCTAAGTAGGAGCAGGCAGCCTCCCACATTGTAGATGCCCAATGTTCGCTGGTTGAATAAACAAATGAGTCTGCAGTTTACAAACTACTTTGTCACTCTCAACACCATGCTCCTCCCTGCAGTGGGCAAGGCAGGACTCCATCTCCATGCTAGAGAAGAACCACGGCCAAGGCCTCACACCAGATCGTGTCACCCCGATAACACTCATCCCACATGCCAGGCGTGGCTTACATTCACACGCGAACTTCAGCAGGCGGGCGCCTTCCAAACAGCAGCTCCTCAGCGCCAGCACTTCTACTCTCACTCCCTGGCTCCTCCGGCTCCCCCTGGGTCTTCTGCACGTGCCGTGCCTGGCACCACGCTGCAGCCAACCCGAACCCAAGCATGAGTGGCGCGACCTCGAGGCCTGATCCCCTAACCCCGCCCAGAGCGTACCAGGATTTTTGGGCTCCTCCTCGCCCACCGGGGGCAGGATGGTCACCGGCTTCTCCTTGGCCCCGCGATCCCCCTTCTTGCTCATTGTGCCAGAGGACTTCTGCGCCCCGAGACGCGGGACCCTGAGTGAAGGTCCCGGCGCGCTCGCCTCACCCGACATGGTGGTGCGGTCCGCTGCCACTCTCAGGGGCCCTCACGCGGCGAGGAGACAGCACGAGACTCTGTGGGCCGAGTCAGGGGGTCTCTATTCCGCGTCTACCCGCCCGACCCTCCCGCAGTGGCGTCGCCTCCGCGTCCCTCTCCAAGACAACCGCCCGCGGCGGGCGGGCGGGAGAGGCAACCGCAGAGCGCACGCGGGGCCGACAGAGGGCGCCGCAGAGCGAGAGCCGGGGCCACCGCGGTGGGCGGCGCCGCCCGCGCAGGAGAGGGGCGGGGCTAGGGTGGAGGCTCGCGAGGGGACGCCCCGGGAGGGGCGGGCCACTACAAGGGGCGTGGCTGCGGCTGGGGGCGGGGCTAGGCCGGCGGGCTGCGGTCCCCAGGTGCCGGAAACCGAGCCCTGGTACCCCGGCCTATTGGAGGTCGCGGCAGCCGGGGACTCCGGGAGGGGAGAGTCCGGGTCAGGCAGCCCACCCTCCTGGGGCCGCCCTCCTGTCCTGAAAGGCGAGGGCTCCGGATGGAAAATCCCAGAGACTCGCCTTCGCGTGGCGCCAGGTTTCTGTTCTCGACCCCATCTCTTTAGCCTCCTGCAGGTCTGGGGACTCAGCTAATCCGCTAGTGAGTTCATGGAGAGAGTGAAGCTTCCTATAGGTTTTGGGCTTAAAATCCTCAGGTAATTAGACCCTGACGGCCCCGCCTCCCCCCCCCCATTGAGTATCCTCTCCTGTCCGCTCTGCCAGCAGCCTCTGTTCCCCATACCAAGTGAATACAGTACCCTGCCTGCTCCTGCTCCCAGCAGTTCCCCGCTTTTGAGACTGTGTGCTGCTGTAGAAACAGCATCCTGGGGGTGCAATCTATGAGTTCTCAGAGCACACCAATGGCCCATCCATCCAAGCACTTAGCCGTCACTGGTACTTTTAATTCACTCAGCTGTTAAACCTTTTGGCAACATTTATTGAGTGTCTTCTGTGTGACAAAGGTACAAACAGGATTCCTGCCTTCAGGGAACTTAAAGTCTAGTGGGAAAGGCAGAGGTTAATCAAATAATCATATAAAGAAACACATTACAGAGGTGCCGGCACCCTGTCCCCCTTCTGCAGGTATCTGGCGAATGAATACAACTGTAATTCATTCTGGGGTGGGAGGGAACATGTGAAGGTCCAGCAGGAGTTAGCAGTGTATGGGGGTGAAGAGCACTCCAGATACGCAAAGTCCCTGGGTAGAAAGAAGTGCTAATGCGAGGACCTAGAGATCAGCGTCACCGGGGAGTTGTGACAGGGAACACAATTCAAGACAAAACTGAAGAAACAGACAGGCCAAGTCAGCAGAGCCTGTAAGGCACTGAAAGTTTTTACTTTAGCCCAAGAACAGCAGGGCTCGGGCAGGGGCAATCCAACAGCTTGTATGTTGAGCAGCTGGTTGGAGGGGGTACCAAGTGAATACAGGGGTGACAGGACACTATTGCTAGAATTAACTGGATTTGGGCTGCCTGTTGACTAACTGGTGAATGCCTGGTACCTGGTACCCCTCTGTAACCAACCAACCAGCCATATAGACACACACACAGACACATAGAGACACACAGAGACACACAGACACACACACACAGAGCCCAGCCTGGGAATGCACAGAAAAGGTACCCAATATACATTTCTACATCAATCTGAAATCAGAGTTATCCAGCAACATTCAACCCACCAGTTTATATACACAGAGCCCAGAGCCCTCAGGGAGCAGTGGGTTGGGGTGGGTTGGCGGTCGCAGTCTCCCAGATGGGACACGGGAGCCAGTCTCCCTTCTCTCCACGTGCTTCCTCTATGAAATGAGTTTATATGCATGGCCTGCTGGTCCTCTCCCTGCTCCTGGCAGGGCACAGCAGGGCTTGCCCCCAGCCTTGAGCAGCAAAGCACAGGTGTGCTGGCATCTGCACAGCATCTTGCTCCTCAGCGGTCCTGGCGCCGGAGTGGGGGTGATGGCGGATGCCGCACTGGAGGCAAGTCATAGTGTCCAGGGATGTGACTGTTCTTGGGTGAGTCGTAGTGGCCAGGGGGTAGGCCTGGAGGCAGCGGGGGCTGGGAGCTCACAGAGTCTCGGTCTGGAGAGGGAGGGGAGAGGATGAGGAGAGGTGACCCCTCCCCTTCCCGCCACACTCTTCCCTTTTCCATCCTCTTAGATGGGTGGTGCCAAGCTTATGCAGAGATAGGCCGGTTCTGCAGCTCCTCAGCTGCCAGTAGGGCTGCCACCTCTACCTGCTCACCTCACAAGATATGAGGCCACTTTGTCACCTGCCTCATTCCCCATTTTTCTGGGTACCAACCAACTCCAAAACTTAGGTGCTGTATGACAATGTCAAATCTTCAGCAATGTTACTTTCCAAACATCAGGCCCAATCTGAGCCCACGTCTGACCCCAAAGACCTTGCTCTTGCCACATCATGCCACCTCTGTCCCTTTTCTCTCTGTCTCCCTCTCCTAGTCCTCTCTAACCCCTGCCCCAGGGGAGAGGGAGGGCTCACCATGGGCAAGAGGGCTGGGCTGCTCATAGGTGCCACTGTCTCTCTGTGGCTGGGGATGCCGCTGCCTCTGGCTGTCCCGGAACTGAGGCGCCTGCCTGGGAAGAGATCCTGAGGGAGGGCCTTTCATCTCCACATAGCTGCTCTCCCGGGGATTTCCTAGCAGGCTGGGCAGGTCCCGAATGGTGGCGTAGGGGTTCTCACTGCTCAGGGAAGCCATACTGGCCCCCAGCCCCTCTTCAGAGATGGGCCCTGAGGACAAATGAAAGTCAGTCTCGGTGGAGCTACTGGCTTCTAAGCTCCAGCTCAGCCCTTCCTTGGGTGCCCCTGTGCCCAGACCTTTACTGTAGAATGGACCTGGGCCATTGCTGTTGCTGTAGCTACAGCTGTAGCTTCGATCCAGGCGGCCGCTACCTGCGGAGGGGGCAGCAACACAGTCAGTCCCCTGGTTCCCTCCTCAGGCTCCCACCTCTGCCAGCACCCAGGCCCAAACCCCATTCTGCAGGCACACTCAGATGGGGCAGGATTTAGGACTGCACATCTCCCCTCACAGAGGCCTTACCCCTGTCCAGAGGCCCTGGAGGGGGATCCCGGCGGTGTTTCCAGTCAGCAGGCAGGGTGGCGTGATTGTCATGCCCATGGGCTCCACCTGGCCGCTCAATGGCTTGGAGGCTGGCGAAGAGCTGACTGCCGGGAAGCTGGTAGAGGAAGGGTGGAATAAGGAGAGAGCTAGCAAGGATGGAGCTTCCCAGGTTTCTAGAGAACTAGCTCTGCACCCATCCCCCATAGCATACCCCACCACATTACTGACCTTGTTAGGGGGTGGGGGGTTAGGTGAGCACTGTGACAGGGTGTGATAGCTGGGGTTGGAGTAGTAGTGGCTGTAGCTCGGAGGGACATCTGTATGAACAGACACAGGTGCAGAGTGACCTGCCTGGTCAGAGACAGTCCCGGACCCAAGAATATTGGTCTGTGTCAGGACACAGGTTTTCAGCCTCTGGGACCTCCCTTCCCCCTCCAATGCCCCACGTCCCATCTTCCAGGTCCAGTGAGGGACTCAGGTGCTCCCCATGCCTGTGAGCCAATTTGTGTCCTCCACTGCGATGTGGCTCACCTGGCATGACGTATTCAGAGCCATCCAGTCGCCCACTGCTGTAGGCCACTGCCAGGTGCTGGTGCTCCTTGCCTTTTTGCCAATGGCGATATCCAATGAACAGTGCCACTAGGGCTACCACCAAGGACCCCAGCACTGCAATGCCAATCACTGCCCCCAGGGAGTTATAGGCTACTGGAGAGGTCGGCATCATGGTGAAAGGCTCCTGGCTTCCTAGTGGGGTGGAGTGATCTCTCAGGACAGCATCTTGGCTCTGCTGGAGAGTTTGGGGTGCACGCACGGGAGAGACTCCAGTGGGGAGGCAGAGTGGCATAGGGGGGCCCAGATGCCAGCAAAGACCTGAACAGGTACTTGTGTCCTGGCTCCCTGGGCTCACTATTCAATGGAGGAACTCACCAATCCTGCAGGGTGCACCACTGTGCCCTGGGGGACACACACAGGCCCCAGTCTCTGGGTGGCACCTCTCTCCAGGACCACACTGGCACAGCTGAGAGCAGTTGGCACCAAACATCCCCAGGGCACAGCCTGGAAGAGAACCAAAGGCAGGCAGGGATCAGAACCACCAGGAAACCACAGTTACCACCTTGGACTGACTTGAGGGGAAGGGGCATAGAGTTCCCCTTCTGTTGGTACCTTCCAAACAGAGGTGTCCGGTCCAGCCTGGAGGGCAGAAACAGCTTCCATCTTGGGGGTGGCAGGTTCCACCATGATGACACTGGCAGGGCTGGGCGCAGTTGGCTCCCCAGTGTCCTGGAGGGCATGCTGCAGGAGAGAAGGTGTCTGTCTGGCAGGGCAAGGTCAGCCACTCCTAGATGAACCCCTAACCCCAGCATCACTGAAATCTCCCTCCTGACTTTGATGTTACAGGGGCACCAAGGCTAGGAACCTTCCCTACGCACTAGTGACTCCCCAAATGCTGAGCTCCAGCCCCATATCTCCCTGCATGCCAAACACCTGTGCCCAGTACCTACTCAATACCTGCACCTCACTATGCAGTGGCCACCAAAAGTCACATGGCCAGCCCTGGACAACCAGAGGCTTCCAATCAACTCTGCACTGGTCAGATCTGGACTTTCTTTTTTAGTTTAAAAAAAAACTGAGCAGAACACATTAAAGATAGGGAAATGAAAACGCTGTTAGTATGAAAGACTGGCTGCCAGCTCCCTGGGAGATGGGGTAGAGGGAGGTGATCTGGTGAAGATTTCCCATAGAATTTGGTAACATCTAGTTACCAGATTCATTTAGATTATTTGGTAGTGTCAGATACACAAATGTTGTGTCTTAAATTGTATGGGCATTTACTTCTCTCTTATGCTAAAAATAATCTTTTCCATGATGTTTTTCATATATTTATGTGGGAAAGAAGGCGCATATAAATAAAAACAAGTTGGAAAATGAAATAGAAAAAAAAGCTAGTCCAAACCCCCACCACCCATGACAAGGGCTGCTCTTTCCAGGCCTCCCATGAGAAGGGGGGGCGCTGCTCTCCCAGACCTTTCAGCACTGCATCCTGAGCCCCTACACCAGTACCTGGCATGAACATGATCCAAAGGAGCACTTGCAGGGCCTCCCTGGTGGCGCAGGGGTTAAAGACAGCACTATCAAGCTATCCGCAGCCTCTGCAGCACGAGTTCCATCCCCAGCAAGGGAGCTACCCACATGGTGCAACAGACCTCTCCTGTCTCGCCTGCTGCTCCCCTCAGCAGTGTATTTCATTCAGTTCAGCCGCCTGTTCTGCTCCACTGTCTCTAGCGAATCCTCTCACCACCACCACAACCCAAACCTCTGGTATACACCCCAGTTCTTATATGCATAAATAAAAAAATCTTTAAAAAAAAAAAGCACTTGCTTATATTGTTGATATAAGAAACTGAGTCAAAATGGGTCCAGAGGCATTTTCTAACCAGGAGCATAAGCGCCAGGAGCAGCCTCGGCACACACGCACTCACACACAGGCGTCACCACGTACGCTGGGAGCAGTCGGGGCCGGTCCAGCCAGCCAGGCAGTAGCAGGTCCCATCCGAGGGGTGGCAGGAGGAGTGGTTGGCACATTTGCAGGGCACACAGCGTTTGCCATAGCGGCCCGGCTGACAGGCTGGGGGAAAGGGGCTCCTGTGACTGGGCTCATGCCTCCTAGGCCCCGCCCACAAGTCCTGGGGAAATCCATGGGGACGGGGCCACCCTCAATCAGCCCTTGAACCCACCATCTCCTTGCTCCTCCTGCTTCAACTGTGCGAAGGTTGGAGCCAGCAGAAGAGAATAGGGACTTGTGGCCTCTGACACTGCCCTGTACCTACTGCTGGCAGGCCGGGGTGGGAAGGAGGGGAGGAGGGAAACTCACGCCTCTGGCAGGAGGGTCCTCGAAATCCAGGGGCACACACACAGTTGCCATTCTCAGGAATGCAGGTGCCCCCATTCTTGCATGTGCAGGTGTTACTACAGTTGGCTCCCCAGAAGCCCTCAGGGCAGGGCAGGTGGCAGCGGGGACCTGTGGGAGAGAAGGGTTAGTGAGTCCAGACTAGACCCACCCCTTCCTCTGAGAGTTCGGGACACATTTCCTGTGGGATGCATCCCCCAACTCCACAGTAGGGCTGGGATATGAATACCCAGATGCTCACCCATCCAGCCAGCCTGGCACTGGCAGTGTCCATGAACAGGGTCACAGCCATCAGAGTGGTCACAGTCGCAACGACTGGCACAGCCTTCACCAAACTGTCCCTTCTTGGAGAGGAAGGGGAGGGGAGAGCAGGCCAGTCACCCTGGGGTGGAATGGGGTAAAATGACCTCCCCACCCCCAGGAAAGCAGGCTGTTGAGCACTCACCGGGCAAGGAAGCTGGCAGTGGGTCCCATGCCACCCAGGGGTGCAGGTACAAGCTCCAGTTTGGGGGCTGCAGGCTGCCTCATTGGCACACTGGCAACTGGCATTGCAACCAAAGCCCCAGGTTCCAGGTGGGCAGGGCACAGAGCAGTTACCACGTTGCCAACCTAGAAAGAGGAGCCTTGCAGTAGGCATGGGGACTCAACTCCCCTCCTGAGCAAGCACACTGGGCATTGGCTGTATCAGGTTCTGGGGGTAGGAGTGGGTGTGATCGTGGCTGGTACAAGAAACAGCATATCTTCAGAAGATATGCCAACCTCTTGTGGGTCTTGGCTGCCTCTTCTGCAAAATGAAGCGTCAGTAGTAAAAGCCAAATGCTTATAGAGTCCCCAACAGGGTCACGTGTAAGACAATAGGGAAGAGTGGAGACCGGAGACTGGGTATTTTTTAATACAGTAGCAGGTTTGCTCAGCAAAATACATCTGTATCTGAATCCAGCCTAACGGCTCCCAACTTGCCACTCTGGGCAAATCCTGGAGGCCTTCCCTGGATGCTGGCTACCCTTGTGTGGTTCTCTACGACTAAGGGTGAGGGATATTTACCAAAGAGGTGCCTCTGGCCTGGGCCTTTAAGGACAATAGGATTTTTGTGGTTGAAGAAAAGCGAAGAGATATTGCAGGAAGGAAGTCGCCTGGCTACTTTCCCAAAGTCCATCTGCTGTCCTGTGACCCGGTCCCGGTACCCACAGTCGCTCCCGCCCTTGGCCCGCCTACCACTGAACCCGCCTTTCCTTCCTACGCGCCGCCCACAAGCCCGCCCAAGCAGAGATCCCACCCCTTACCTTCCTTGCAGACGCAGGAGCCGTCTATGGGCGAGCAGGCCAGGGCGTTTTCGCAGGAGCAGCGTGCCGAGCAGTTGACTCCGTAAGTGTCAGGTGGGCAGAGGCTAGCGCAGTGCGGGCCCTGAAAGCGGCGGGCGTGCTAATGCGCGGGGGGCCGAGCTCTCCTGCCAGGCCGCCCACCCTCGCTGCCACTCGCACCCCGCTCGCCCCCCAGCTTTCCTCGCCGCCGCGCGCCTCACCGTGTAGCCGGGCGCACACCGGCAGAGGCCGCTGTCCGCCTGGCAGACGCCGCCGTGCAGGCAGAGGCAGTGCTCCTGGCAGCCCGGTCCATGCGTGTCCTGAGGGCAGCTCTCATTGCAGTGCAGCCCGGCCCAGCCCGGCAGGCACGAGCACTCCCCGCTCATCGGGTGGCAGCTGCGGGTGGAGGCGGGCATGAGGGTGGTCTGAACCCCCGTCCGCGGAACGGCCACCCCAGCCTTCCACGTGGTGGGAACTGGGCGTCACCGAGTCAGGGGGCCATAATGTAGGCGGATGCTTTTCTGAGAGCGACCCCTCCCCTTCCCTGAAGCCTCTCCCTTTGCCCTCTGGGACTCCCGTCCCGCCCTTGGCCCTTGGGTATGCCAGGGCGCGACTCAGGAGGCCTTTCCCATTGACCCCCAGGCGCTTGACCAGCCCCCCTCCCCCGCCCACCTGAGACTGTGCTCCGGGTCGCAGGTGCAGGGCGCCTGGCAGCTGAGGCCGTAGAGACCGTCGGGGCAGAGACGCTCGGTGCAGCGGTCGCCGGTGAAGCCATGTTCGCACAGACACGCCCCGTTGGCCGCAAAGCAGCGGGCACCAGGGGCGCAGTCACACGTCTCAGCACAGTCCTGCCCGAAGTGGCCCACGGGGCACTCTTCACGGCACCTGGGCACCCGCTGAGTGAGCCAGACTTCCCCGTCTCCTCCCGCCGCTGCCCCAGCCCCCACCCCTCCCGCCCTCACCAGCTCCTCACCGGTCCCCAGTGAAGCCCGGTGCGCAGAGGCACTGCCCTGTGAATCGGTCGCAGAAACCGCCGTTGTGACAGCGACATTCCAGGGAGCAGTTGGGGCCATGGAAGCCCTCAGGGCAGGGCAAGGAGCAGATGGTGCCCTGAGCGGGTGGGGAGAGGTCTGGAGAGGGCTCCAAGCACCCAGCACCCTTGGATACGCTCCTACTCAGAGCCCTCAAACCCTTCCAGGATCAGTCCACCCCCTCACACATCCCCAGAGCCCTGTTGAGAACCAGTCAGAATTCTCACCAGACTCCCACCCCACACCCAAAACCCACCCTTCATACCATCCATCCAGGTGGGCAGCTGCAGGTGCCCTGGCGAGCCTGGAAAACACCCCCATTGTGGCAAGGATGGGCGTGGAGGCAGAAGCCATCAGAATCTGGGTGACAGGGCACCTCACAGCTGCTGGGCAGAGAGGCGGGCGAGTGTGAATAAGAAGCACCTGCCGTCCCCTTTGCCGCCAAGGCCAAGTGCACACAGGTGCACCCCAGGAGGAAGGCTGACGGCAAGGCTAGTGAGTCCCGGCCCCCTCCCCTACTGGGGACTCGAGTCAGAAAGCAAGGCTTTCCAGGACTCAAAAATGGCAGGGACACCCAGCACATGTCCACATGCCCTCTGCTCTGCCTCCACCTTTGCTCCCCTTGTTCCCTCTAGGGAACCCCCCCTGCCTGCAGACTTTTTCTCCTCCAGCTGGCTTACCCTGGAGTTCTTCCCTGAAACTGGATCCCGGATGGACACCTATGTGCCCCTTCTCCCTCCTGTCACAACCAGTTCCCTTTGCATTCTATCTTTGGGCAGCGTCCTGGGCACTTGTCTCAGCCCCACAGTACAACACATTTCACACACATGCAAGCTCATGTCATCTTCACAGAGGCCCTTCCAGACAGATAATGCTGTTCCCATTATACAGACAGGAATCATGGTCTTGGGGAGTCAACGGTTCACTCAAGGGCTCTCACCAGTGAGTGACAGAGCTGGGACTAAGCTCTTGGCCTCTCAATTCCATCCCCCCACCTTTGAGACCCCGTCTGAGCCCCTTATACCACCCCCAATGCCTGTGTGGTTCTGTCCGTGACCCCACTAGTATGCTATTGCCCTCATTCCATACCTGGGCCCAGTTCTGTCCGGAGGGCAGAAGCAGGCTCCAGTCTGGGGATCACAGGGTGCCCCTTGGCACTGACAACTGAACTGACAGGCAGGGCCATAGTGGCCAGGGGGGCAGGGTTGAAGGCAATTCGGGGGCTGCAGGCCTGCAGGGCAGGAACAAGCCCCACTCTTGGGGTCACAGGAACTGCTGTTGCCACAGCTGCAGGGTCTGTCACACTGTGGCCCCCACACTCCCGGGGCACATGCTGTGGGATAAGGAGGGTAGAAAGGGTCACCAGGGTCTCACCCCTCCCCAGTCTCTCATTAGTGCCTACCTCCCAGATCCCCCGACCCCTTAAGCCCAGCCCTGGCCCACCCTGTACCACATCTCTGGGACAGGAGATGGCTTCAGCAAAGGTCCTAGGTACCTGGGCCCTGGTAAGGAGGGTGTGCCCGAGGGGCCCACACCCCTGAAGCAGGAGAGGACGCCTCTGCGGCCACCTGCCACTCACCGCTGGAGCAGTCATCCCCTCGCCAGTCTGGCTCACACTGACACTGGTTGGGCGCCACACAGCGGCCGTGGACACACTCCTGGGCACAGAGCGCTGAGGCAGAGGCGAGGGGTAAGGAGATGTCCACCCCCACGCCTGCCCACTTTTTATCCGCTGAAGCTGGCCCTGCTCTTCCTCCCACACCAGGGAGGGGAGATGCGAAGCGTCAGTTCTGCTACTGACATGCAGAAAGACAGGGCAGCAGCTCAGGTGAGAACTTGACAAGACCTCGGGATTCCCAACCCCCAACCCCCTTCTGTGAAATCAACGTTTTGGGGACATGGGGAGAGGACTCCTCAGACATGGGAGCCGTGTCCAGAAAGGGCGTAGGAGTCCCCAGTTAGTCAGGCTGAGCAGGGGCCTTTGTGCCAGCTAGTAACAGGCCAGGGCTGACAGAGGGGGAGAGGAGCACAGCAGGCTCCAGTCTGGGGGTGCTTAGGGTGCTGGGGGAGTGGGGACAGGAAGCCAGAACAGCAGCAAGTCAGAGAAAGATAGAAACGGGGAGATAAGGACAGGAGGAGACTGCAGGGGATTCAAACACCAAGCCCAAGACAGAGTGTCAGAGATCAAGGCGCCTCCACCCCGGGGGGTGGGACAGACAGACACAGAGACACGCACAGCTGAGGGACATGGAGAGAGGACTGGGGAAATGTGAGGATGAAGGGCAGGGGAGGGCAATGCTCATAGGGACCTAGGGACAAGGCAGGGGAGCGGGGCGGGCAAGAGAACCCACAGAGCAGAGGAGTATGGGGGGAGCAGGGAGGAACTAGGAGTGGGGCTAGGCCCTTCCCATTCCACAGTCCCCACATCCCATTCCCTGGCCCAACACAGGACTCACGGACGCACGCCCCGTTGCTCTCATAGAAGCCCCGGCAGCACTGCAGGCGCCTCCGGTGGTCTGTCTTCACCACCTGGCGGTACACCGTCCGGTAGACGACCCTGGAGGAGCCCAGAGCTGGCCTCAGCCCTCCCCACCCAGCCTCTGCTACCTCACTGCACTGGGGAGGCCTGGGGGCACTGCCAACACTCTGGGGGACGCATAAAAGACCATCCACTCCCTCCTTGTCCCACACCGTCATACACGTCCCCATGACACACACCACACACACATCCCCATGACACACCCCACACACACATCCTCATGACACACCCCACACACACTGTCCCTGCCGCCAACACAGCCTTCCTACGCCCTGAGGCCAGGTGCTCCTCTAATCTCTAAGGATACTGGGGCGGGGGCTGGTCAGAGGCTGGGGAGACAGCCACTGGGGCTGCGGTGGAAGGGGGCACAGCACTCACGTGGGCTGATGGCAGGTGTGCGGGCTCTCCCAGGGCCGGCTGCAGGGCTCTGAGGGGAGTAGACTGAAGGGGCGGGACTGGGACTCCTTGGTGGTCGTTGTGAAGCTACAAGACAGGGTGCAGAATCGGGGCCCAAGGCAGCTGGAGGCCTGAGTAGCCCATGGCATGATGGAGCAGCAGGAAGCAGGGGCCTCAGGGAATTGTTACCCCAACATTTGGGCTTGTTCCCCCAAGGCTAGGATTGGTGAGGGTCCTGCTGCCTCAAGTCTGGAGGGATCCTCCCAGAATTAGGCTATTCCTGTGACACCCCATCAGAGCCTCCTCCTCACCCTGTTGGATCTTCAATTCTTCTTCCCTCTTCCTCTTGCAACTGGGAGATGAACTAGAACTGTCTTCTGGACCCAGCTAATGGAGAGGAGCTGAAGCATGTGTGGCCAAATCCTGCCCCGAGCCCCAGGGTTCCCCAGCCTGTCCCCTTTGCTCTCCTGCACTGGCCTGTCTTCTTCACAGTGAATAGCTCCCACCCTGCACTCTGTCCCGCGGCCAACCTTCCTCGTGGGGTGGGGGGGGGGACAAAGGACAAGGATAGAAAACGAACAAGGCAAGAGCCGGATGGAGATGGAGACAAGGTCAGAGATAAGGATGCAGTCAGAGGCAGCTCTTGGTGGGGAATCTGGAGAGCAGAGCAGAGCTGCGGGGAGGGGAATACGGGGGGGGGGGGGGAGGGAGGAGTGAAGGAAGGCAAAGGAAGGAACCAGGCAGAGAAGCCCAAGTGGGGAGAATGGGGAGCTGGAAACCTGGAGTCCTCAAATTGGAGCAGAGGCCCTTCTTACCTTTCCCAGAAGCTGCAGGTGTTGGGGTCACTGGGGTTCAGGGTTCCAGCCAGCACCAGGCCCAGGGCCAGGAGGAGGAGGGAGCACAGAGGCGCTGCCATCGCTGAGACCTGTGATGGCGCCAGGCGACCGGTGAGCGCACAGTGCTACGGAGCACTGGGCAGGCTGTGGGCTGAGGGGAGGCTGCTGCCCCTGCTGCTGTCCGCTAGCCACAAGCTTCCCGCTCCCGACACCCCAGCCCCCCTCACTCTGAGTCCTGACCTGGTGGTGCCGGCCGCACCATTGAGACTTCCTCCTTGCGTGTCCTCCGCCACCATGTCCACCCTGAGTGTTCATCTTTCCAGGTCTAGCCCAAATGCCACCCCTCCTCTCTGCTCTGTTCCCCAGCCCCAAAGGCAAACCCACCTGTCCCTTCGGGGTCCTCAGCACCATTCACCCCAACACCACTGTTCCAATGCCTGTCCCCCCGACCCTGACCTCTGGAGACAGGGACCTGTGCCTTTTCTCTCTGAACCCCCAGCCCCTACCCAGGGCACTTGGATTTTTATACCAAGGCGTGACATTAGCACCACAGCGGGACGTTAGGAGCAAAGATGGTCTGGGCTCGGCTGCAAGAACTTTTCCAAAAGTCAAACGCAGTTGACTAATGAAATCTGTTCTCTGGGGTGGTGAGCTCCCCATCACTGGGCGTGAGCAGGCAGAGGTCAAAACCACTCTGGCGTCAGAGGCTTCCTGCTCAGGGGGTGGCAGTCGGCTGGGTCCCAGCGGCCTCGAAGGCTTCCCCTTCCAAGGTTTCTGCAGCTTGTCCAGGCTCCGTAGAGCCCCCAGCTCACATCTCCCAGCCCCACCGTCAGCCATGTCACAGGCATAGCCTGAAACCAGGCACACGAAGAGACTTCTACACCGCACACCAGGACCAACCCCCCACCAGAGCCAGCAACCCCAGGTGCTGTCACCAGAGCGGTCCCCAGCGTGGCCTCAGATTTAAGGAGGAGACGCCCCCTCCCTCTGGCCAGTCCATCTGGAAATGGGCTCCTCCCCATCGCCTGCACCGCCTGGCTCTGGCTCACCCAGTGGGTGGGAAGAGGGTGGGGACCTCAGATGAGTCTGTTGGGGTTCCTGAGCTCAGGAGAGAGGAGCTGGACTCCTTGCTTGCCGCCCCCGCACCAGTTCCAGCTTCCATGTAAAGTCCTCCTACAACTTGCCCTGGCTCTCTGCTCTGTGCCGCTCCAAGGCACCCACATCTGCTTATAATTTTTCCAAGAAGAGAGAAAGGTCGTGGTTGCTGGCCCCTTACCCCCCTGAGTATCTCTGGAATGCCTGCTGCCTGGCCCACCCCGCGCCCCCCACCCACACACTCCCAGGGTCCCCACTGCTACTGCTCCAATCAGGGCTGGCTCTCTCCCTTGCTTTCTCCCTCAACGTATTGAGTGAGAGGTTTGCTCCCCAACTTAACCCCCTCTCCCCCACAGTCCACCCCACTAGTAACCCTAGTGTAGGCAAATCTCCTCTCTCTCCTCTCTTCAGCAGGGCCTACCCACCTCCTCTCCCCAGGCTCCCTCCCTTTCATTGCAAACCTCTCCCAGGCCCCTCCAATCCAGAGCAGCCATGTCACCCCTTCCCTCTGGCTACTTCCCCACTACACAGCACCCTCTCCCCTCCCCAGCATATCTCAACCTCCAGCTTTCTTTGTGGTTCCCTTCCCCAGCCCCCAAGTCACTCACCAGGCCTCTATGGCATCCTGGGACTGAGAAGTGCTGGGGAATCCTGATCTTGCTAGACCCAGGGCCCTGGCCTTAGGAGTCAAAGTGTGTTCTGGGGGGATCCCAGGGTCTGGAGCTTGAAAACAGGAAATGGAATCACAGTTAAATGGTGAGTTGGGGAAGGCAGGAGTGTGTGTCGGGGAGGAGGGCTCCCACCACCCAGGCTCTGAAGGTGAGGTGAGGGGCAGGGCCAGAACTTACCTCCCTGGCTGAGCACTCTGGCCCATTCTGAAGAGGAGCCAGGCCACCCCCAGAGGTAACCTTCAGATGGTCCCCAAAGTCTGTGCCAGCGCATCACTGCCACAGCAACCCCCATTCATGCCCATCCTTCTCCCAAACGGAGTTGGCTTCTTCCTTCCATTGTCCCCAAACAATCCCCTGCACTCCTGTTCTGCTCTGGCCACATTCCTAAGACCAGCGCCCACCTCCAGGGCAAGCCCTAACGGTCTCAGCTGACCTCTCACCACTCCTCCCTCGAGTGTGCCTGGCAGCCAGGCCATGAGCAGGGCACTGAGCCCACAAACATCGCCCCCTCCTCACCCCCAGTCTTCTCTGGGCTCCCCACCGCCCCAACCCCAGGCCCCCAAGGGGCCCTGGCTTAGAGCCTTGGATTAGAGTTCAGTCTGTCTGGACCCAGGATCATCACCCTTGTCCCTGGGTGGGCCTCATCTCCAGCCACACAAGGACCCCCAGGCTTCCCCTGGCCTGGATCTGTCCCCAGAGCCCACCGGCACAGTGAGGCAGACAAAACTCGCAGCAGGAAGGGCTTGAGCGGAGGCACCTTGAGGAGGGGCCATGTATCAGTAGCTTGGCTGCAAAGCCCAGAGAAAGTCTCTCCCGTTTACATCAGCCCCAGCCCTGGAAACAAGAATCCTCCACTCCTATCAGCCAGCCCTGGAGGAAAAGGTTCATGGGGCATGGAGAGGCCGCAGGTGGGTGGGGAGGAGGCAACTCAAAGCCCAGGGATTGATCTAAGAGCCAGGGGTTAGCTGGCTGCAGGGGTGGGGAAAGTGTTCCCAAAGAGCCCCAGTCAGGACTGGAGTAGGAGGACAGGAGTCAGAGGTGGGGCTGGAACCAGGGTGGGGTCCAGGAGTAGTGGGTGGTCTCAGGGAGGGGCCAGATGGGTTGGACACTCCAGTGGGGAGGGTGTGGCCCAACCAGCCTTAGCCCCTAAAGCGGGAACAGGGGCCAAACCAGAGCCCGAACCCCAGCCTGTCCCCACCCCTTGCTTGTTCATCAGAACCTTTGTCCCACAAGAGTTAGGAAACTGAGGCCCTGGCCCATCCTTCCCCAGCCCCTCCTGTCCCACCAGCACTGGGCCTCAGAGGCTTTAAATCAGGCAGCTACTGGCACCCCATCCTGCCCAGGGACCCACAGTTTACTCACTAAGGGGGACCCCCATCTCCCCCACTGCAGGTTCACTTCTTCCCATACAGATGGACCCTCCCCTTCTTCCCTACTCAGCCCCCTTTAGATTTGGAGGGATCCAGACACTTCCCTCTCAAGAACAGCAACATGACACCTGTCCCAGCATTGGGACAGTCCATGCACTGAGCAGATTACTCGCATCATCTCATTTACAGCTTAATCAACCCATGATTGAGGTAGGTATTATTATTCTTTTTACAGAGGAAATTGGCACAGAGAGGGTAAGTCACCTGCCCAAGACCTTACAGCCTGCAGTATCAGAGCTGAGCTCTAAACCCAAGCTGCCCACGGAGGCCTCCCCATGGTTCCCCAGCCCAGGCAGAATCCCACGGGTCTCTTTTTAATAGCCTGTTATGGGGAAGAGGGGAGCCTGGCAGGGGGCCTGACAGGAGAAGGGGATGGGGGTGGAGGCTGCCACAAGAATGATCAGAGGCGTGGGAACTGGGATCTGTTTACAGTCAAGAAAGAGCTGACACTTCTCTCTCCTCCACCTCGAGATGCAAAGCAGCTGGGCTCCTGGCCAACCCTCGTCCCCAGCCCCCCAGTCAGTCCCCCAGACCTCCAGCCAGTCCCGAGCCCCACACATGCCTGTAGGCCCCCAGCAGCCCTGCTTTTTCAGCCTCCAGACCCACACACGCCCACCCAGCTCTTCTCCATGCTCAGCCTGATCGGAGCCCCCTGCACCCTCACTGTGCCCAGCCCCTCCTGAAAGGATGGAAAGGAGTTTGGGGGTGGGGTCGGAGTAGACAGAAGATGCCCATTTCTCTAGGAGGCAGAGGAGTGGGGCTGACCGGAAGTGAGACAGCAGAGGGACTTCCCCGTGTCCCTTCCAGCTCTGGGAGATGGCAATGCCAAGGGTTCTCTGAGCTCTGCGGCCCCCTCACCCCATCCAAACCCCTGTGGCCCCAGCTCTCAGTTTGCTCAGCTATGAAATGGGCTTCAGCTCTGAAATAGCGGCTTCCTTGCAGGGGTTAGTGGTGAATGAGTGAGAGACTAAGATGAGGTGTTTAGAGCAGTGCATGATGTGCCCAATTAACAGCGCCATCTCCAGGAGGGTCTTCTATCCCTTGCCCACGCCCGCCAGGCCCCGGCCCCGCTCCCCTCGGCCTATCACACCCTTGGAGGATCATTTCCAAGAAAAGCTGAATCTTGTTTTTATTTTCTGAAGAACCCCCAAGATGATCCGGGAATGGGAATGGGGCCTTGGATGCTGATGGAAAGGAAGTGGGGGTAGGAGGGGGCTGGGTTCTCCAGGGAACCTGATCCCCCAGAACCATGGGCTGCCGGCCAGGTGCATCTTCAAGCCAAAGGCAGCTGAAGAGGCAGGATGCCTGAACTCTGCCTCCCCCCGCCCTCAGCCTGAGTGCCAGCCCCAGCGCCTCCCCTGGCTCCTCTCCTCTCTGTCTGTCTCTCTCTCGCCCCCTTCTCATGCTGGAGTCCAAAGGCTCCAGTAGAGGGTGTCACTTACTAACTGTGACCTCAGACTTGTCACTGAGCCTGCTGGGCCTCCATTCCCTCGCGTGTAAAACGGGAGAATGACCCCACACACTTCCCAGGCTCCGCTGAGGCTTAGAATGGCAGGTCCCGCCGACCACCCTGGAACACAGCCTCAGGTTCGGCCACTCAGGGGAAGCGTGATGACGGAGAAGCAGAGCCCCCAGGCTCCCTCCTTTACTTCTGCCTTTTGTCTTGATCTTCATCAGAAACTCTCTGCTTTCTGCCTTTTTCTCTTCTTACTCCATCAGTTTCTTGGCTTCCGTCTCCCCTCCTGTAGCACGGTGGCCATGTACAGTTGTGCGCTATGTTCACTGCACTGGGGCATCTGCTTTGGGCGGGGGGGGGGGGAGGCTGAACTCATCACTCACCACGTCGTATGTCTTAGCTTAGTGCCAAGGTTGCCTTGCCCTGTGTCTCCCCTGTCTGCCTGCAGCTCTCCCGGCCTCTGTTTCTCTGGGCCCTTTCCTAACCTACTTTTGTCACAGAGATGGGATCACTTACTTCTCCCCACTCAGCAGTGAGGTTCCACTTCAAGGACTCTCAGAGCACCCCCACCCCCTACCCCGGGAAACGCCCTGACTTTGAGCTGCTGTGCTCCACACACGCGCCACACAGCACACACGTGTACTCGCTCGCACACACAAGCACCTCGCTCCTCCTACAGCCAGCAAGCCAAGGCTTTGGCACGCCAGGCATGTCTGCCGGATGGAGGGACAGGAAGCCTGCGTGTGAGCCAGAGGCTGGGTGGGAAGGGGGCAGGGGTGAGGGGCAGGCCTTGTGTTCTCCATGGTTCAGGAAACAGAAGCTGGAGGGTCCTCAGCAGACCTGTTTACTCATCAGGAAACAGGGAAACTTCAGGGATTCTGATTCACCAAACATCGACTGCCTGCCTCCAAAAGGCTGGCGCCCCTGCCAGTCCCAACGCCAGCCTCCCCTGCAGGTGCTGCTGACCCCACTCCACAGGCCAGACCCTGGAGCTGTGCAGGCAAAATGACTTGCCCCAATGCGAGCAGGATTAGACTCTGCTTCAAAGAACAAAGCAGTGGGGGGGGGGGAGGAGGGCGGGAACCCCTAGGGTAACAGGCCAGGAGGCAGCTCCTGTCCACCCTGCTCATCGCCACCCCCAAATACCCTCAGAAAATGTACCTCTGTCCTGGTCATCACCCTCTCCAGAGCCCTCTGTGGCTCCCACACCACAGAACTGGTGCCCAGGGGCCAGAGCCTCTGGTGGCCAGCCCCACATGCTCTGCCCCTGTGCTCCCAGGGGCAGGACAGTCCACTGCCCCCACATGCCTCCCACCACACAGCCACCTCTATCCAGGCTGCCCCTGGCATGCCAGGTCCTACACATTCTTCCTGGCACCTCTTCCAGGAAGCCCTCAGTGGCTCCCAACCTCAGTGGGTGTCTGCCAGCCCACACATCCTCCTGTAGGTCCTTCCTTAGCACAGTTACCTCCCACAATTCTGGCCCTGAAGCCAGCTCAAACTGGATATGGATAAGTGCCCGAAGGCCCAGTGCTTCCCCAAACCCTATCCAAAGTCCTGGCACTGTGTCCTGCCTCGGGGCACAAGTGGGACTAACCCAGGCCACTCGGACCAGCCCTGGGGTACCACCGGACTGATGGGGCAATCAGGTCATAGATACCCATCTCAGGATTGCTGTTTTTAGGGTCTGGTTTCCCCACCAGGATGAGGCCCCTCTAATCTCCTCCCTATCAGATGCCCCATCAGTGGGCAGGTGCTTTAGGTTTTCCCCCAAGACCACCCTCTGGTCAGTATGTTTTCATTAAGCTCTGCCTGTCCCACTGACCAGAGCTCTCTGGGTAGGGGCACATCTCTGCTCCCTCACCACCGGGTCCCCAGCACTGGCCAGCACCTAGCAGGCAGTACCCAAATGTCTGTGGGGACTAGATAAACCCTGAAATCCTTCCCAACTCCAGCAAACCTTGACTTTACTTTGGGGTACTCTACTCTGGGGGACATTGGGGGTTGTGGTTTCTACCCCTCTCTGTTTCCACTAGAGGGAGGCTGGGCCCTCCTTCCAGGCTCTTGACACAGCATTGGCCAGACTCTGGAAGGTGGAAGGGATTCTGAAAGAATGCAGCATTACAAAGCTAGCGGCTCCATCCTGCCCTTCTGACCTCCGGCAGGAATTCCTACAGGATGAGTGTACTGTAGTGCCAGGCCCGCTGTCGCTGTCACCTGGGCGCAGGGTTGCCCAGATCAGAGCCCTTATCCTGCACCTCTGGCCCAGGAGAAGTCCCACTGTCTGCTCCACACACCTCCTCTGAGACAGAGGGACAGAGCCCCAGACCCACTATGTGAGTGTGTGGTGGGAGGCAGAGGCAGGAGAGGATCCCCAGGAGGCCAGGTGCCCCAGCGCCCACCCACATGCTGTTTCTCAGGAGCCCACTATTTGGCCACATGTGGGTGCTGTATTACTAATTACCACCCCTTGCTAAATATACACTGTGGGCCAGAGCCTTTCTTTTAATGCTCTCCACAATCCTATAAAGAAGGTACAAATAACTGTGTCTCCCATTTTGTAGATGAAGATATACCCCAGAGAGGTTAAGTAATTTGCCCAAGGTCACACAGTCAACCAACTGAAG